TCCCTGCTCGGCAGGGAGTCTGCTTCTCCCTCTGACCCTCCCCCTCTCATGCTCTCTGTCTCCCATTCTCTCTCTCAGATAAATAAATAAAAAATCTTAAAAGTAAAAAAAAAAAAAAATGTTGGAAGCAGGGAAAGCAGCTGGATGAATGGTAGCTAACTCAGCAAGTCCAAGAAGCTGAACTGCAACCTATTAGCAATCTGATGCAGACCTCTAATCTGGAAGGAGGGCTGGAGAGAGACAGCCCCTCTCTGCAACCCACAAAATACTGCAGAGATTTTGTCTGTGGAGAGGGTAAAAAAAACAGTCTTCAGCCTTGGGGACAGCAGTGGGGAAAGCAGGCACGGTGGAGACACGGCACTGACAAAGAGGGAAATTAGGCAAATGTTTATACACTGAATGTTGGGACCCTTCCCTGTCCCCCACCCTCATCCCACGGTCAGCTGCCCGTCAGGCCTACCCTTTCGAGGCAAAATATCTGAAGATTCTTCTTTGGGGAATCTGACCTCACTTAAGAGAGAAAAAAGACTATAAAGATACTGACTTATAAGGGTGGGAATGGGGCTTTACAACAAAACGCCAATGGTTAACTAGCCTACCCTTTCACTCAGAGCTTCTTTTTAATCTTATATACGACAAAATACAGATTTGGAACTACACCGAAGCATACAATTTTCACATAAAGAATGAAACTAATGCTGGGTTTCACCATGTTATGGTGTCCTTCAGATCACATTTAACTTCCCCACAGTGCAATAAAAAGGATCATTTTAGCAAAGCAGGAGCTTCAGGTATCCTAAGCATCTCTTTTAACCTGTCACTATTTAAATTCATCCCTTTTTTATAGCGTTTTTACAAACTGAGATGTATTTCATACAATATAAAATTCACTATTTTAAAGTGTACCCTCCCTTTCAGTGGTTTTTAGTATATTCACTGTTTTGTGGAGCTATCACCATTATTTAATTCCAGAACACCTGCATCATCTCAAAATAAACCCTATACCTATTGGGAGTGTCCTTTCCTCCTCCACCCCTGGTAACCCATAATCTACTTTCCGTCTTTATGGATTTACCTATTCTAGACATTTCATATAAATGGAATGATACGATATATGGCCTTCCGTACCTGACTTCTTTCACTTATCAAAATATTTTCTTTTTTTTTTTTTTTTAAAGATTTTATTTATTTATTTGACAGAGAGAGAGATAGCGAGAGCAGGAACACAAGCAGGGGGAGTGGGAGAGGGAGAAGCAGGCTCCCTGCCGAGCAGGGAGCCCGATGTGGGACTCGATCCCAGGACCCTGGGACCATGACCTGAGCCGAAGGCAGACACTTAACAACTGAGCCACCCAGGTGCCCCAAAATATTTTCTTTTTAATTAAGTGTACCTGACATATAATATTAGTTTCAGGTATTAGCATAATAGTAACAATAACAATACATATTATATAATAATATTACATTATTACATATAATTTTTCAAGGTTCATCAATGAACATGTAAAAGTAGCAGATAATGGCTTATTCCTTTTTACAACTGAATATTTCATTGTATGGACATTAATACATTTTGTCCATTCTTCAGCTAGTGGATCTCTGGGTTGTTTCCCCTTTTTGGTTACGATGAATAATGCTCCTATCTGCTTTTCAGTATCCTGTTCTTAATTGTGAGTAGATCACCCAAAATCATCAGCTATCTGAAGAAAAGAGTTAATATAAAAGGTCTGTATACACTAAAACGAACAGGCAAAAAGCAATTGGGGAAACAGGAACTATGCAAAGAGAACTTTTTAACTGACTTTAAAATTATCGTTAACAAACTTCAGACAATAAAAAGATGCCATGGGGTGCCTGGGTTGTTCAGTCATTAAGCGTCTGCCATCAGGTCATGATGCCAGGGTCCTGGGATCGAGCCCTGTATCGGGCTCCCTACTCCTTGGGAAGCCTGCTTCTCCCTCTCCCACTCACCCTGCTTGTGTTCCCTCTCTCACTGTGTCTCTCTCTATCAGATAAATAAATAAAATCTTAAAAAAAATAAAAAATAAATTAAAAAAATGCCACGCTCATGAAAAGAAGAATAGGATCCTATAAAATGGAATCCTCAGAGAACAAGAGTCCCATGAAACTAAAAGTATGCTAAAAAAAAAAAAAAAAAAAAAAATCAATAGGTGAGAAGTCCTCTGATAAAGTAGAAAAAAAAAAGTGAGATGGAAAGTAGAAAAAGTGAGAAAATTTAAGAAATTTTAAGACATGCAAGGTTTCAAAATGTTATCATCCACACATCCTTTTTTCAGGAAGCTAGAAGGCTGTGCTTTGCTAAAATGATGGAATAACCAAGAAAGATAACTAGGGGCACAAGAGACAGGGATGCAACACAGGAAAGAAAGAAATGCAAGCCCCGGGATGAGGATGGTGAGTACTTCAGGATAACCATCATAAACCAAGAATACGAAACTTATAGATTACTTCATATACCTGATCATGAGAGATTTAAACATCCAAAAGAGTCTGAAGCTAATTTAGTTGTAAGTATATAGAAAATTAAATGAGACAATAAATCCAGAGAAAACCAAGAGTTGGGAAGGAAAGGAAAAGCAGTTACAGCATACTACATGACTTAGCTGTGGATACAAAGTCAAAACAACAAAACACTGACCTAAAAATCATAAAATAACTCTGTAATGAGGATGAGGGAACAGGAAAGGTTATGTGAGAATGTAGGGATGGAAGAAACGGTACTTCCTATAGCAACAGAAGATGCCCAAAACTGAAAAGTTAAGAAGTCACAAGAGTGACATGTTACTTAGAAATATGGAAGTAGCTATCAAAAGGATCCATTAAGAATAAAAAAATGGTTACTGAGAGGGTGAGGGGTGCATGCCATTTTTTACAAAAGTATTTGACTATTTCAAACTTTGTGTATGTATAGGGTGCCTGGGTGGCTCAGTCAGTTAAGTGTCTGCTTTCAGCTCAGGTCATGATCTCGGAGTGCTGGGATAGAGCCCCATGTCAGGCTTCATGCTCAGTGGGGAGCCTGCTTCTCCCTCTCCCTCAGCCACCCCCTCCACTAGCTCGTGTTCTCTCTCAAATAATAAAAAATAAAACATAAAAAATAAACTCTGTGTATGAGGACGCCTGGGTGGCTCAGTTGGTCAGGCGTCTGCCCTCGGCTCAGGGCATGATCCCAGGGTCCTGTGATCGAGTCCCGCGTCAGGCTCCTTGCTCAGCGGGGAGCCTGCTTCTCCCTCTGCCTGCCTCTCCCCCTGCCTGTGCGCTGTCTCTCTGACAAATAAAATCTTAAAAAAAAAAAATTTAAAAACAAAAAAAACAACTCTGGGTACATGTATAAATGGAACTTGTGCCTATTCTGTTTTGAAAAGACTAGAGCTACAAAAATGTCCTGAAAGGATCTTATAGAGGAATATAGGATTACCTCTTAATCCAGGGAAAAATATATAAAAAACATGTCTGTCCTAAATTTAAGGGCCGTGAATGGCTTCTCAGCAAATTAGTGCTTTCCAGCAAGAATGAAGATTAAAAAGTAAGCTTCAAAATGAGTAAAATTTATTCTCCCCAGCTTACTTAACTACATACACTGCTCACTGAGCTAAGAATTCTTCTATGGGAAGAAAATAATTCTCCTAATACTAAATCAGGATTTCACTTTGCTGTTATGGAGGTATTAAAGATCCTTTGTCAATTAGTTGTTTCTAATGCTTTTGAAATACTAGTAAAATAAATCTTAAAACAATGGCTAAAATTGGGGGCATAAATTGATATAAAAGTATATTTTAAGGATGCTTTGATTCAAGCTTTATAACAAATATTCACAATTTACTTGATGATCTTATCTAGCACACTTGCCCCTTCGTATGATACATTTCCTTTTCCTTCAACACACTAAGCTTGATCCCACCTACTTGTATCTGCTCTCACCCTGTCTGGAATATACTTCCCATGGTGGATTCCTTCTGGTCCCAGTGTAAATACTTTCGCTTGCAGAGACTGTCAAACCTTTTTGTCAGAAGTGCCCTATGCCCTTTGTGCTAGATCACACTAGCATCCTTCCCCTGATCTGAAACGATCACATCCAGAAGGCAGAGGCCATGTTCTGCCAGTCTGCCATGTTCACCACTTTACCCCCCAGGCCTATAATGAAACTTGCCACATATCAGCCACCCAAATATCTTGCAGGTGAATGAATACACAAATATTTACTTCAGTGTTCTTGGTTTTGTTTTTAAGAAACTCAGGCTGTTACATACTCGTGTTTTGTTTTTTTTTTTAAGTAACTTGAAAAAGTAAAAATCTAACTTCTGACCCCTAACCTGCTTTGAGAATACCAAAAACATCTTTCAAAATTATGCAGTTGGATGCTTACACTTAAAAGTATTGGCTGTTTTTCTGAGGTTCAAATTTAACTGGGAATCTTGTATTTTATTTGGCAATCCTAGTCAGGGGGAGTAAGGAAGAGAGAAGAACCAGAATGGGATGTGTTGAGGTAGGGGAGACAGTTAAAGGGAGAGAGCAACAGCTAGGATGAGTAAGAAACTGGAAAGACAGATTATTATATAAAGAGAAATTCAGGATTTACTGCTTTGTGTTGTTCAATGTAATTTACCCCATGCCACCTCCTCAAGAAAACTATAAAAAGGTCTATATTACTTTAAGAATAAATGCAGAAGGGAGACCATCTCCTGATAAGTCTTCCCTTACCTCTGTATCAAAAAACACTCCTGTGCTCCCTCTGGACTTGGTTCATTAGCACTCTGAATTGTGTCGGGAGGCCCCAGAAGGGCAGAGGTTGAGAAAGTGCTTCCTCTCTATCACCAGCACCTAGAACAGCGTCTGGCACAAATGCCCATTCAACACGTAATCTAAAAGCTACATCTAAATCAAAACTAGGTCAGTTATTTTAACTGTACTCTAATCACTACGGAAATAAGAAAAGAAGCAACTTCAAAGTCTCAGCAGGTATACAACTAAAATATACTTACTGTTTCAAAAGTATTCAATATCATCAAAGGGAAAAAAACATTAAAATAATCTCCACAATCTTGAAATTTGACAGGCACAGGTCTTGAGATGGACTGACAAAGGCTTGCTGGGGGCCCGCACTGATCAAAGTTCACAAACATTTCGTATTTCCATTTTAAGACCTCTTTGACAAAGGTGTCAGAGATGGACTGCGATGACAAGACAATGTGGACTGGAGAGGAAGCTGAGAAGGATTTGCTTTCACCAAACGTTAGTTTGTAACTTTGCCTGATGGAATTACTTGGAGTCTGAGGGTGAAGAACATTGCACAAACTCTTCACTTCACCCACTGGCTTTGGAGACAACACAGAGGCTGGCTGTGGGACTTTCAAAACAGCCTGTGCCCCATTTGACTTATTTTTTAGAGCTGGTGGAAGTGCAGAGGCACTTTCCAAAGACTTGGAAAGATTAGCAATTCGTGAAGTACTACTTGAGCTAAAAATCTTAGCAGTGGAAGGTCTCGAAGGCTTGGATGCAGAAAGGGGCAAGCCAGGTTTACGAAATACATCTTCATCTGCTGCTTTAGCTTCACAGTGTTTTGAGCAGTAGTCACCCTGGTTTTTCGGGGTTTCAACACAATCTTTGTACTTACATTTTGTGCTACTCCAAGATTCCAACTGAGGCCGACTTACAGAATCTTCTTCCACCTGAGCTGTATCTTTGCCATGAACTACTTCAATGAGTTTCTCATTACCATTCTCCATCTGTGAACACAAATCCATATCTTCAGGATCGTGCTGTGTTAGAAATATATTCTCATCTTCTGTATCACTGTTGGATTCAGGCTCTCCGTCTTTCAAAACTGTCAATTCTAAATGATGTACTGTTGGGTCACCACCTCCTAAGGGGTCTGCTGAAGCAGAGACAATGATTTCCTTTGTTGGTATTCTTCCATTCAACACAACAGAAGCAGACTGGTTCAAAAGACAAGCATCACTGGTCACCTGAGACACATATTTTGTTTTCATGGGTTCTGGTTCTGAAGACACACATTTTATTAATTGTTTCCCAGTGTTGTTAGCAACCTCCTCAGTTCCTCCTTTGTAACTATGATCTGAACCATCTGATTCTGGGACAAGTATGTCAGAATTCTGTGCTGGACAAAGCCCTGCTCTTGTAGCATCTTTATTTTCATAATCCAAAAGTCCTTGTCTATTTTGTTGTGATTTGGGTCTCACCTGCCTTCGCAACTGAAGATCTTGACTTGTCAGCAGTTTCTTATTGTTTCTGACAGAGAGAGTCTGAGGAGAAATTAACTTAGTCTTTTTGCTAGTATCAACCACTCCAACACTTTGACCATGGTGGCGTAACTGAACTACATACTCTAGAGATCCCTGAGACAAATCAAATGCCTTACGAGGAGCCTTCTTCAGACCAAGTTTCTCAACTGCTGAAGTTGGTTCAGGGCACTGGCGAAATTTCTTTGGTGGAACTATAGCAGGAGTTGTCCTACAACTTATATAATTTGAACTTTTATTCTGCCCTTTCTTGGTATCTGAATGTGTTTTCTTAGGAGTTTTAGGAAGTGGGACTCTTCTAATGGGTTTGGAATAAGTACGAAGCTTTGGAGAAGACTTCTTCAGTGAAACCGTAGTGTCTTTGTCTCTCTGAACACTTGAACTGGGACTCGCTGTCCTTAGGTCCATACTTTTAAAATCATTTTCAGTCAGACCTCTCTCATTAAGAATATCAGGCTCGTTCTCGTTTCTATCAGAAGGTGAAGGCCTTAGAGGACCTTCAGCCATAGGTTTTTCAAATCGTTTTCTCTTACGTTTTTTTACTTCAATTTCACAAAATTCCCCAACAGAAATACTACTCTGTGGTTCTGTGTGTTTTTCAATGCCCTCTGCTACCTTCTTAATAACCTCTTCAGATACATAATCTGTCTCATAACCCCAATCATTCGTGGTATCAGCTATGCCAGCTGAACAAGAATTTTTTTCATTCTCTTGAACTGAATTCTTCTCTGCTTCCTGATCTTGCCAAGCTGAAAACATCTCACATGGACTTTCAAACTCAAAAAACTGAGAATCTGATTCTTCCAACTGCAAAACGGGCTTTGTCTCCTCTTCCTTTATTAACTTCTTTTCCACATTCGGACTAGCTATTGAAGTATGCTGCTCCAGGCATTCTTTCTTGATGCCTATTTTATCTTGTTTAATGTGTTTCTCAAAACCCAGAATTCCTTCATCATCATCATCATCAGAATCTGAAATAATAATAATCTGGCCCCGACAGGCTTCCCCAGTATTATTCTGGTCAGCCGGGAAACATCTTCTGTCATCTTTCACTCTTCTTTGTAGCTGGGATGAACTTTTTTGAGTTGAATCTGATGGGAACTTAATAACGCTGGCTTGAGCTATTAAAGATAACTTGTGGAGGTCTTGGTCTATCTGAGAATCTGTTAAGGTGTCAGACTGAGGACTGAGGCCAGGAGCCTGTTCTCTCAAGTGAGAAGACATCTGACTGGTATTCTTGCTAATTTCCTTATCTTTTGATTCAAGAACAGTCACAGGATCTTTGAAGGGAGACATTTTCTTCACGAAAGTGTTGGTCACTTCTGTAAACGAGACCAAATCTTTATCATCAATGTGACATTCCTGCATTTGATACCTGTTTTCATAGGAAGAGCAAATATCTAACTCTTCACTCTTCAGTTGTTTCTTTTTCAGCAATGAACTGTTTTGAGATTTTTGTTCCCCATTTTTATCATCCAGAATGCCGAGAGGGTCTAAAGAGAGATTGTGCATGAAGCCATCCCCTTTCTGACCTCCTGAATCTTTCCTTGAATAGAAACAGTCAATGTTAGACACAGTTAGGTTTTCCTCTAAATTACCAGTATTATTGATCAAAGTACTTTTCCTGTGTTGCTTCTTTATTACATGTGATGACTTAGCACAAATTTCATTTTTATGTGCCTTAGTTTTTGATTTTGAGGTTTTGCCAAGAGCATCATCCTTGAAAGAGAAATCCTCATTTGATGTGCACGACTTCTCCAGAGAATCAGTGCTAGAGTCGGTCAACAAATGTGTTGACATTATTATTCCTCTGTCACATCCCCTTTCTGGACCATTCCTTGAAGTACAATTCTGCAGTACATTTCTTGAAGTACAATTCTCTTTCACAGACTTCTGCTTCCCTGTACTTATTTTAACTTGATCTTGAGCTCTTTCAGTGAAAAGGTTTTTACTACTCTTCTTTATGCATGACTCGGCTGAGAGATGATCTTCTAGTTTCCAATCTTTTATATAATTTTGCTCATTATCCTCTTCTGTCGTGTTACTTGCTTTAATCAATATATTCTCTTGTATTTGATATGCCTCAGCTTTCATTGGTTCTTTAGAAAATGTTGGGCTGGAGTTTTCCAGACAGTGCAGATCTTTATTGGACTTCCTCTCTATTTGTTCACTTTCTTCTTTACTGTAAGATGCCGGAGAGCTTTTACCTGCAGGACTCAGATCCACGAAAGTGTTACATTGAGGTACTTTGACTTTTATGTTTCTGATAATTTGCTTTAAACAAGTTTGTAACTCATGGGTTTCCTGAGTACTCAACTGCCAACCTAGAGACAAATTTCCACGCAGAAATAAATTGAGTTTATCCCAGAATCGCTTACATAAAGTTTGCTGCCCAAGCTGATAACCTTCTTTAAGGAGACTTCTAATCAGCTGCACACAAGCCAGTTGTACAGAATTTGATGGCATTGAATGCAATGACAGAGATGATATCATTGCTGTTCCTTTGGAGCAATTTCCAGATGACTTCTCAGAACTCCGTGCAAATGCAGTGGTAGGTAGCTTGGCACATTTTACAACGGCTTCTACCCATTGCTGGGAACTAACCCACAGCAAATGCAGACATTTTTTATTTCTATGCAGCTCAATCACGGACACCAAAATCAGAAGAAAAAATTCAGTAACTTTGTCACACATGGCATCTGTTTGGTTGAGGACATCTTTGACTTCCGAGTGCAGATGATGAATAACCTCTACTATATAAGCCACACCCAAATCCTTAAGATCCATGAGGGACTGAACAAAAGGGATGAACCACAGAAAGGTGCTGTTATGAACACGCATGTCTTGACCAATATCTGACTGAAGCACACTGGCTAATGTTTCCATCTCTTCATACATGTTAGGACAATAATCGGGGCAAATGGCTGATCTCCACCCTGAATCCTAAAATGAAAGAAATACTGACATTAGATAAGCAAACAGAATTCATGATGGATTTAATGCATAGCTATTAAACGATGTATCACTTAGTTTTCCTATTTTGGTTCACATATACGCCCCAAAAATGGAAAACATAGGTCAATGTCGAGGTCAAGGATTCATGAGTACACCTCGTCTTCTTTCCATTAGCAGGTTTCGATTCCAGTCATGTCACTTATCTCCCTCATCCTATAACCTTTCCACCCTTCCTGACTGCCCTTAATCTTCCAAAGTGTGCACCTTGTAGTGAGAGTCCATTTTCCCCATGTACATCTGTTCAATCAGAAACCCCTTATGCAGCAGTGGATTCAGAATAGCTATGTATCATAACATCAGTAATTCAACTAATTATGTACAATATCGCCTACACAATATAAAGGCAATACAGGGTCATCTGAATTCTCAACATGTTTTATACCTTTTTGGTCTTTTCGGGATTATAATTGTATACAATCTGGCTGCAAGTCACCATATCATCCAAATATGACTCCGGTTCTAACTTGGTCCTTAAAGAGTAATAAGAATAAACAGAAATTAATGAAATGAAAAAAAAAAAAAAAAAGCAAAAAGGAAAAAACCCTATTGCTAAGTCAGTTACAACAGACTTCCTCATTGAGATTATTTTAAAATACTGACACATTAACTGAACTAACCTTACAGAGCTGTTCCGTATATTTTGGATCTCTTTATTGTAGCTCACATTGTTGATAATGGTTTGAAATGCCTCAATAGGATCAATACGTTGACCCCAGACCTTAGATCCAAGGCGATCCAGAATCACCATGAAACAGTGTAATGCTGGCCAAAAAGGATCCACACTATCATCTGAAATACAGTGGAGTAATTGCTGGATTACAAAATGATCAGAAAAAGATGCTAAAACATACTGAGAATGAAGCATTCTTTATCTGGGTAGCAAAAAAACTGAATTAGCAAAGCAGCTAATTTAAAATAAAGTGCTGCCAACCACAGGTTTTAAAAACCTAGTAAACTTTAAAGCTAATTTTGCATTTTTTTCAAGCAATACTATACACCCCTAAGAAATTTTTTAATGGGGAACAAATGGAGAGTCTAGGTAAACTCACCTCTCTCACCCTGTTTGCCATACCTGAAACAACCCTTCCTACCGAACAAAAGCCCATGATACAAGAAATCCTGGTTTTAAGCATGATCTGAATTATGTGTGCCATTTGGCTGCTGTAAAGGACTGAATACCTTAGCTAGTATTAGGCTAAGCAGATACACACACCCTTCATCCATCCATATCTCAACTTGGCCTTGTTATCTACTTTTCACCCAAATGGTAGGAATTCCCACTACTGAGCAGCTCTTACCTCCAGTCCTTTCCCTCTCCTCTATCAGATACGCAGTGGCAAAATACTGCCCTACTCAAAAGCCTTCCAATTGCTCTTCAATGTCTTCCAAGAAAATTCAAGGTCCTCAGTCACGCACTTACTTGTAAGATCCTACTCTATTGTGTCTTTCCAGCTTTATTTTTCACACTCCCATCATCACACGCTGTCTACAGCAAAAACAGCTGGCTTCTTCCCAAGTAAGAACCGGAATGCCTTCAGCACCACCTCCCAGAATCCTCCATCCTCAAGCCCAGCACAAATGCTCCTACTACATCAAACATTCCGTGGTCGCTTACTCTTCTCTAGCACTCTTCTGGACACAGGAGCTCCCACTCACTCAGTTACTGATAGGTTATCTGCCCACCGAGAACTTCCTGCTGTATTTCCTTCAGGGCTCTTAAACTCTACTTGCTTTGCCACAGGCATTTGTGTAAACCTTCCCATACACTTTCTTGTCCTTTCCTGCAGCTGATAGTGTCTTATGGCCAGTAAGCTCTCAAGTAAGGAACAAAGTCGTCAGTTTGAAGACCATTATGAAAGCCTTCTTAAAGAGATGACTCCCGTTTTGAAGAACGTTAGGGGAGCTGGATTAACGGAGAAGACAGAGTTGTATGGGCAAGGCACAAAGAAATGAACTATTAATGTAGTAAATGCTGGTAAATGAATTAGTAATAACTTTAACAATAATGTAGCAAGAAAATGTATGTGATCACAAAAAGAGTAACACTGGGGGGGTGCTGGGTGTGGGGTGGCACCGGGGCTGGGGAATGGTGGTGGCCATGGTCGAGGAGGCTCCGGGATGAGCAGGAGGAGCGCCGTGAGATGGACCAGCTCCCAAGGCAGCAGGGAGGACACTGCCTCTTACTACAGCTGCTCAGAGGTACTAAAGGAAGCTCAGCAGATGTGGGCACCCCAGCCAGCAGCAGAGAGGGGTGCAGGGGAGCCACAGAGAAGCCCCTTCTGATGCCCCAAGGAACAAGCCGACCCATCCAGGCTCCAGGACCACAAAGCAATATGAAACCTGTTCACGAGAGGAGTCAGGAATGCCTTCCACCAAAGAAATGTGACCAGCGAGGATATGAAGAGAACCACCAGCTGCTCAACTAACCACACACCCTCCAGTGATGCCTCTGAATGGTCCCGAGGGGTTGTGGTGGCCAGGCAGAGTCAGGCAGGAGCCAGAGTCAGCCTGGGGGGTGATGGAGCTGAGGCCATCGCTGATCTGACGGTGGACCAGGATGGTATGCTGTATAAGGTGGCTGTGCCACCTGCTACCTCCTCTCCAACTGGCCCATCTGTGGTGAACATGAGCCCCTTGTCCCCCCCCCAAAGAGTAACATTTACATAGCTCTTTTAGAATCTTGCACAAATGACTTTATATCCACGCTGGAGTTGTCTAAAGAGAAGTGAATGTGGGGGGAAAATGATTCATTATATTTTCATAGGATCTGACATCCTTGATCTTTATTTACTCCTTCATCAAGATTAGAAATATTCAGTACAGATCCTCCCTGATCAGCCTGATACAACCATGAGCAAAAGAAAGTGAGGGTCTAATAATAAACATGACGACAAGTTTTACACCCTGTTTTCTAGACTATCTGAACAGCACTGTCCAAGAGTGCTTTCTGTGCTGATGGAAATGTTCTTTACCTACACTGGTCAATACAGTAGCTACCAGCTACATGTGGCTACTGAGCACTCAAAGTATAGCTCGTGGGACTGCAAAACTGAATGCTTTATTTAATTTTAAGTTTAAATAGCCACATTTGGCTAAGAGTCACCATGCTGGACAGTGGAACCCTAGAGAACCAAAGTGAAATGAAGAACCAGGAAAAAGGAAGACCCTAGGACAGGAAAGGTTTTCTCCACAATTTTAACTACCATGTCATTAGAAATTTATCTGCTAGTCTTTTTTTTTTTTAAGATTTTATTTATTCATTTGAGACAAAGATATATATAGAGAGAGAGAGAGAAAGAGAGAGAGAGCATGAGCAGGGAGAGAGGCAGAGGGAGAGGGAGAAGCAGGCTCCCCGCTGAGCCAGGAGCCCAATGTGGGGCTCGATCCCAGGACTCTGGGATCATGACCTGGGCCGAAGGCAGACGCTTAACCATCTGAGCCACCCAGGCGCCCCCTGCTAGTCTTGATTCTACCACTAAATGGGCATTTCAACAAGAAACAGTAAGTTAACTTCCCTGGGCTTCAGTCTCCTCTTTTATGAAGGTAAGGTGCTGAAATTAAACTCTAGAAGTCCCTTCCAATTTAAAAATCTGAATCCGTGACTTAACCATACAAACGTTCTCTCTTCTTTTGTCCACACCATACACCCAAATTCTTGCAATGACACTAGTATTTTAAAAGGGCATATCACAGTATTCAAAAGCATTTAGCAAATAAAGGTTATTACCATCTGCTTGCCTCTCCATGGTGTGAAGTATTGATTGCATAAAATCATTCTGTTTGTCTGAGCCCAGCAACAGTGAGTCCATGGCCTGCTCCTCCAGAATGGTCAGCAACATGCAAATACCTGTAAGATCATTGACAAACGTTTTCTTGACTTGATTAAGTAACATTGCTCTCGTGCCTTCTCTGGCTTAGTTGGCAAAAGAGTAACAAGGCGAGGGCGCCTGGGTGGCTCAGTTGGTTGAGCGACTGCCTTTGGCTCAGGTCATGATCCTGGAGTCCTGCGATCAAGTCCCGCATTGGGCTCCCTGCTGAGCAGGGAGCCTGCTTCTCCCTCTGACCCTCCTCCCTCTCATGCTCTCTCTATCCTTCTCTCTCAATAAATAAAAATCCTTAAGAAAATTATAAAAAAAAAGAATAACAAGGCGGTAAAATGAAGCAAACCAGTATCCAGTTCCTCAAACATTTAAGTCTGAGACAGTCATACACAACTGCTCCCAAGTAACAGGACTTTAGACTGACTTGAAAGTAAAAAGGGAAAATGGTATGAACGGGTTAGAAAACAATTGCTATGACGACTACCACACAATTTGTATTTCCTCAAATCTAAGGTGCCTTCAATTTTAAGATCACCATATTTTGAGCACTCATCACTGCCAAATATGACACATGACTATAAGACTCAGAATCAGTAAAGTAGGGTAGAACTATTTTGAGTCAGTGGAACTTGTTGAAAAACCAAAGCTATTATCTCTTTCACAACCAGGCAATATTTTACAGATGGGAAAATCTCTTTAAAATATATCAAACCCCATTAAAGTCAACTGTTATACTATTATCTTGTTACATATAGTATTGCTTTAAAGATTTAGTTGCCATACTCGAACATGTACCTCTTACAAAGATGGTTTCTAGGATAAATAATGTTTAAAAACAGGATGTGTAATGGCTAAGTCAATTTAACAAGAGAACAAGAATTGGGAACTATGAAATCCTTGATCAGATCACCAAGAAACCACTTCCTTTGCAGGATACTCATTAAGAATCATGAAAAATACTAGTTATATTTGTGTAGGAACAGTACTTACCTAACCAATAGTTTTTGTAGTTGGTGGTATCGTACATGTGTGAGGGCAGAAGAATCAGTTTACCCTTCTCGAGGACAGAAGAAGTATAAATGTCCGGACTTTCCAAAAGCCCCAATTCAATGACTTTAAAAAGGCAAGTCAAAACCTCCTGCAAGTCATAATAATCATCTCTGTCCACTTTTCCCAAATTTCTTGCGGTCAGGATAGCCCAACGCCGAACCTAAAGGAATAACATGTTCACTGCTTCATTCAACAAATAATTGTCTACATGCAGCAAGAACCTAGTTAAGAAAATAGGATTCTCTACAGATTTTAAAAGACCTAAGATACAGGTCGCCTGGGTGGCTCAGTCGGTTAAGGGACTGCCTAAGATACTAGTAACGCAATGCTTGGACCTTATTTTATCCTGATTTGGACCCTAAAAAAGCATTTATGAGATAATCACTTAACCACTGATTAGAAATATATAGGGGCACCTGGGTGGCTCAATCAGTTAAGCGTCTGCCCTCGGCTCAGGTCATGATCCCAGGATCCTGGGATCGAGCCCCTTTCAGGCTCCCTGCTTGGTAGAGAGCCTGCTTCTCCATCGCCCTCTGCAGCTCCCCCTGCTTGTGCTCTCTCTCTCTCTCTCTCAAGTAAATAAAAATCCTTTTTCATAAAAAAAAATATATATATTAAAGAATTATTTTAGGTGTGGTGATATGAATTTTTTTTAAAAAGTCATTATCTTTAGAGACATACTGAAGTATTTTATGGATGAAATGCTCTGATGTCTAAGATTTGCTCTAAGTAATCCAAAGGGATATAGAATATTGGCTATGTAGTGATAACTCATAAAGCTCAGTGATGGATATATGAGGGTTCATTATATCATTCTACTTTTGTATGTTTGTAATTTTCCGTAATAGAAAGTTAAGAGGGGGGAAAAAGTGGAGCCTCAGAAGAAATCAAAAGTCACCTCTAAATGTCAATATAGCATAGACAAATGATTTTAAATTTCTCGTGGACAAGGGGTGCCTGAGTGGTACAGTCGGTTAAGCATCCAACTCTTGGTTTTGGCTTAGGTCATGATCTCACGGTCATGAGATAGAGCCCCGTGTCGGACTCTGCACTCAGTGTGGAGTCTGCTTAAGATTCTCTCTTCCTAGGGGCGCCTGGGTGGCTCAGTCGGTTAAGCGGCTGCCTTCAGCTCAGGTCATGATCCTGGGGTCCTGGGATCGAGCCCCACCTCTGGCTCCCTGCTTGGCAGAGAGCCTGCTTCTCCCTCTCCCTCTGCCTGCCTCTCTGCCTACTTGTTCTCGCTCTCTCTCTCTCTCTGTCAAATAAAAAAAAAAGATTCTCTCTTCCTCTCCCTCTGTCCCTCCACAACCAAGCTCCCTGCCCCCTGCTCTTTCTCTAAAATAAATAAATCTTTAAAAAATTTTCTTGTAAGCTATGAATTAAATTTAGTAATCATGACCAACCTTAAAAAACTAATAAAATAGAACAGAAAAATATCAGCGTGCATCCTGCATGTTAGGAGTATTATTTTGGGAAATGTTTGCGTCACATATGCATATGTATATGTGTACTCAATGAAAAACACTTTTTATCACAGGTTATGGTCAAAAAAGTTTGAAAAACATAGAGCTAATGGATGTAGGAATGGACTGGCTCTACGCCAACGTAAGTAATGAATTTTAAACTTTTGGAAAAGATACAAAGGAATGCATGAGTCCATACTGGTAATAAATAGGTAAATAAATAGGAGAAAGGCAAAAGCTCCTGGTTATAGTACAATCAATGTCACGTGTTAACTGGTAAATGTGTTGAGTGCTGGATGGGAAAATTACTTCACAATCCCAGAAAAACTGGTTCAGGCAAAAGCATCAGTTAGCACTAAATATAGGAGAAAACTTTGGTGAGGAGCAGGGCATTTCTGTGATCTCCAGTATCTAAGAAACAGAAAATATACAGTGAAGAAACTGGACAACACCTTGATCAGCTGATCAAAATTAACATAACCACAAAGGGCAAATGATATGATGCGCGTCTGTTATAGAACACTCTGAGAAGGACATCACATCACTCTTATGGAGTACCCCAGCTGGGAATGCATAGCCTGACTCTAACAACTAGGAAACATTAGACAAACCCAAAATGAGGAGCATTCTATTTTTTAAAAGGTGCGGGGAGGGGCGCCTGGGTGGCTCAGTTGTTAAGCGTCTGCCTTCGGCTCAGGTCGTGATCCCAGGGTGCTGGGATCAAGCCCCGCATTGGGCTCCCTGCTCTGCGGGAAGCCTGCTTCTCCCTCTCCCACTCCCCCTCTGCTTGTGTTCCCCCTCTTGCTGTGTCTCTCTCTGTCAAATAAATAAATAAAATCTTTAAAAATAAATAAATAAATAAATAAAAGGTGCAGAACAGGGATGACAGCACTCTTCAGAAATGTCATAAGACAAAGGCTGAGGAAACAACAGTCCAGATGAAGGGAGACTCAAGCAACATAATTACGTGTAAGAGCTGATCCTGGCCCGGATACTGGAGCACAGGGGGGAAACACTACGAAGAACACTGGAGAGCACATGGTACAGCTGGAAGATAGACATTACTAAATCAGTGCGAAATTCACTGAAGCTTGTAACACTGTCCTTACAGAAGGAGAAGAGCCTCTTCTCAAGAGATACACATGAAGTACTTAGCGGTAAAGCACACAGGGATGAAACCGACTTTCAAATGGTTCAGGAAAAAAAGCTGTGTCACTTGAAAGCAAATGATAAAGCAAATGGAGACACTAACAATTAGTGAATATGGCTTAAGATGATACAGGTATTTTATTCCTGAGAATTTTCTGAAAGTGGGAAAGTACTTCCAAACAGTTAAAAAACCAAACCAAACCTAGGGGCTCTGGAGCCCGGCTGCCTATCTATACACCCTGGGTTCCACACGCTAGTCTGTGTAAGTGATTCAGTTTCCTCATCTATGAAATGTGGGCTGTAAGGTTTTAATGAGTTAACATCCGGAAACTACACAATACTGCACCCAAAACACAGTAGACCTGAATATTCACGGCTGAATATTCACAGTCATGAAAAGCCTTTATCCAAGAAAGCAGTATGTCATGTAATACTTAGGATTGCCCAAACAATGTGAAAAGGCTGACGCTGACTTTGCACAGACTGTTGGTGGTAAAGGACCCCAGCTGTTTGAAAGGTCTTTATTTCACCTTCTCTCTTGGGCGCTTGCTTCTAGATGGACAGCTCCCATTCTTCAGCAAAGGGAAGACACTGTTCCATCGTCGGTTTTATTCCTATGACTGAGAAGCTAACTGCACCTCTCTCGTAGGTAGTCTTTTCTCTGGCTCCTTTAAAACCTTTGTCTCTAGTATCCTGAAGCATTACTACAGTGTGCACTGGTGTGGGTTTTTCTTTTATCTCTCCACCTCAGGATCTGTGAGCATGCTTATCTGCGTTTTTCACTGACTTTGAAAAATAACGCACCATCACCTCTTTATCACTCCGGTTCTTTCCTTTGCCAACAGAGCGAACTGAGATTAGATCTTCCCACTGTACCCTGCCTTTTCAGCATTCCCCCTCCATCCCTTTGTCTGTCTTTCTAAAGTAACCTGTTCATCTTCTAAATTCATTCATTCTCTCTTCAGGCACACCTAACTAGCCGTTCAATCCATCTAAAGTGTTTAATTTTATGTGTTTCATTTCTACATATTTTAATTGAATCTTTAAAAAATATTCCTGGTCTTTTGAGAGTGGGTTTTCAAGTCTCTCTTCTACTGAAGCACTTTATATTCTGTATCTGATCATTCTAATAAAGGAGTTCTTTGGGTACACTTGCTCATTTTTATTTCCACTCACACACAGTGGTTTTGTTGTTTTAATTTTGGTACCTTCATTGGGATATATCTGTGGGAATCTGGCAAGGACTCAGTTGATGTGTCCCTCTGGAAAGGATTTGCAATGGTTTCTGCAAGTATCAAGCAAGCAGGCAAACAGGAACTTCTCTTATGAAGAGAGGGCTTTGGTTACAAATTTTCAGGGAAGTCTTTTCCTCACCCAGATTTCAGAGACAGACACATTTCTGTCATCTGTGAATTATTTTCTACTACCTTTTCGACTGAGGGTGTGGCCCACCACGTCTGTTTTATTTATTTATTTATTTTAAAGATTTTATTTATTTATGCATGAGAGACAAAGAGAGAGAGAGAGAGAGAAGCAGAGGGAGAAGCAGGCTCCCAAGGAGCAGGGAGCCCGATGCGGGACTCGATCCCAGGACTCTGGGATCATGACCTGAGCCGAAGGCAGACGCTTAACCATCTGAGCCACCCAGGCGCCCTCAAGTCTGTTTTATGGTAGAGCCTCTAACTCCCTATCCCAACACCTTAATATACATCTGTTAAACATATACTTTAAGGTTCTACTAACTTTGGCTAACACTCTCTGGATGCCTGTGGCTTCACTGTCCACCTTCTACTCTGGGTTCCAGTTCCCTGTCCATTTCACTCTTACCTTCTTGGACAAGCCTATAAACCCTGTCACATTTTACCTGGCATACCTAAGTATTTTGGAGGAGGAACATTTTTCAGTTTATAGAGACACTAGACTGCCAGAAATTGAAGTCTTTTGCTGACATCTTTTTCGGATGAGGGTTAGGGAATAAGACTTCAGAATTAAAGACTATAACCTTTTATTCATCACACACTTTTATCTTTGGTCCATGCGTAGCCCACTTTTAAATTTAAATTTTTATTATTAATGCAACATGCACCCATAAACTCATCATCCAACACAAAAACTAAGGCCCCTTTACTGTAACATGCATTTAACTATATGGGGCCCATCCCCCCCCCATCTTCCTTCCCCTTCCAACCTGAGGTGACCATCATCTCGAATACCATGTTCTTCATCCCCTTATTTTTTATATAGTTGTGGTATCTATCTGTAAATATTCATTTTATTTCTAACTTTATAAAAAGAGTTTCCTTCTATATGGAATCTTCTGAAACTTTATTTCACTTAGTGTTATATCACCAGGATTCACTTATTTTGTTTCAAGTTGATAGTTTGTTTAGATTGCTACATGATATTCCCATGTGAAGATACTTCAGTTTATTCACGGACTCCCCCACCACCAGGCATCCCAGTTGTTTGCAGGTTTTTGTGAATTCTAAGTAGTGTGCTATGGAATTTCTTATATATGCCTCCTGTTACAAATGATCAAGAGTATCTCTCTTACATACACCCTCAGGAATGAAACTGCTAGATGGGGCGCCTGGGTGGCTCAGATGGTTAAGCATCTGCCTTCAGCTCAGGTCGTGATCCCAGGGTCCTGGGATCGAGTCCCACATTGGGCTCCCTGCTCAGCGGGGAGCCTGCTTCTCCCTCTGCCTCTCTCTCTGTCTCTTATGAATAAATAAGTAAAATCTAAAAAAAAAAAAAGAAAGAAACTGCTAAATCATGGGACATAGGAATGTTCAAATTTAGACGAAGCCAAACTAATCTCTAAGGCGCTGCCCCAATTTACACTTCTACCAGCAATGAGGTCCTGCAGATCCACATCCTAATACTTATAGCCTCAAACTAGCACACACTACAAAATACTGTGGTTTTGCTATTTCCTTGTCATTAATGTCAAGCTGTCCTTCATATGTTTATTAGCCATAGAACTTCCTCTTCTGGGAAATGCCTGTTCAGATCTTCTTCCACTTTTCTTTTGGGGTTTTGTTAGTGTTGTTTATAGCTTCTCCCAATTTTTAACTTGTCTTTTCACTTTAAGATGTCTTTTGATAAACAAAAGCTCTTAATTTTGATATAGTCACGTTTATCAGCCTTCCTTTTATAACCAATGCTTTCCTTCCTTAAAATCTCAGTGATATATACCTATATTTTCTGCCAAGAGTTTGGCCATTTTATTTTTGACTTTTTTTTTTTTTATTAAAGATTTTATTTATTTATTTGACAGAGAGAGACACAGTGAGAGAGGGAACACAAGCAGGGGGAGTGGGAGAAGGAGAAGCAGGCTTCCCGTGGAGCAGGGAGCCCGATGCGGGGCTCCATCCCAGGACCCCAGATCATGACCTGAGCCGAAGGTAGATGCTTAACGACTGAGCCACCCAGGCGCCCCTTTATTTTTGACATTTAACCTTGAGTGTTTAAATACTTGATGTTTTAAGTATATGACTTAAAAATATGATTTCCTCCATAGAGATACCTTTGTATCACTTCCATTTCCAGTCCTTCTTTTCCCCATTGATCTGATGCATCATCTCTATCAAATACCGAAGATCTAAATATGAGCGAGTCTGTTTGAGTCTCTATTGTATACCACTGGCCAAAGTATCTGTCTGCACATCACTATCACATTGTCTTAACTAGCAGAGCTTCATAGTAAGTCTCCCTCATCCTCAGAAATGTCTTGGCAACTTTGGATCCTTCCTCTTCCATATACGTATTTTAGAAACATCTTAATGTGTTACATTAAAAACCCTGCTGGAATTTATTTAAAAACACTCTGAATCTATAGATCAATCTGGGGCAAACTGAAAGATCTTTCTATTACTAAGCTTTCTTATTTATGAACACAGGGTCTAGGGGCGCCTGGGTGGCTCAGTCGTTAAGCGTCTACCTTTGGCTCAGGTCATGATCCCAGGGTGCTGGGATTGAGCCCCACATCGGGCTCCCTGCTCCGTGGGGAGTCTGCTTCTCCCTCTCCCACTCCCCCTGCTTGTGTTCCCTCTCTCGCGGTCTTTCTCTCTTTCAAATAAATAAAATCTTAAAAACAAAACAAAACAAAACAAAAAACACAGGGTCTTTCTTTACTTATTCAGGTTCTCTTTCATGTGTTAATTAAGTTTTATGATTTTCCTGTAGAAGTTCCGTATCTTTGTTAGATTTATGCCTGGGTATTTAATATTTTCTGAACCTGTAATAAATGGAAATTTATCTTTATTAATTTTTGGCTGGCTGTGTACAGAAATACCAGACTTCTGTAAATAATCACCTTGTTAAACACTTATTTCTCAAAACTTGTAGATTCTTTGGGGTTTCCTAAGTAAATAATCTTATTGTTACAAATTATATCATTTTTACTTCTTCCTTTCAAATTCTAATGCCTCTCATTTCTTTTTCTAATTATTTTTACTGCATTGACCAGAAACCCAACTTAACACTACAAAAAGTGGTGATAGTGAGCACCTTTGTCTATTTCTGATTTTAAAGGGAATGCCTCACTAAAAGTTAGTCAATTTGGATAATGTTTCCTTTAGGTTTTTTACAGATACAACTCATCAGCTTATAGAATTCCCTTCCATTCCTAATTTGCTAAGCATTTTTAATCTGAATGGGTGCTGAATTTTATCAAATGGTTTCTCTGCATCCAATCAACCATATGAGTTTTTTAACTTGTTAGTAAGGTGAAATTCTATTTATAGATTTTCTAATATTTTGTTTAAGATTTTTGCATATTAATGACCATCATTTAACCTTAATGTTTTAGGTGTCTTGTTTTTGTTGTTATGTCTTTTTATTATTTTTGTTTTTATGTTGTTATGTTTTTGTTATTTGTATCTTGTTACCTGCTTCATAGAATAAATTTAAGAGTATTCTTTTTCTGGAAAGACAAACATAAAATAAGGATAATCTATTCTGAATAATCAGCTCATAAATTTTGAAGCTTTATTTCTGTAATTACTTCCAGTTATCAATTTCCCTGAAAGCACCTCTTTTGCTACATCCTACAATTTTTTTATGTAACATCTTCATTAGGATTCGGTTCTGTGTATTCTTAAGTCTTGATGATTTCTTTTTTAGCATATGTTAATTTCAAAATGTGGAAACTCATTTATCTTTTCATTAACTTCTATCTAAATCGTGTTATGATCAGAGATCATGGTAGTCCTTGAAATGTGCTGAAACATTTATCATGGCTTAGTATGTGATCACTTTTGTCATGTTCAACATGTATTTGAAAAAATGGTTAGACGCCCAGTTCACATATATATTCATTAGGTTATGTTTGTAAACCACCTTATATATATATTCCCTTCCTTGCTGAGGTCTTTATTGATCTACTGATTCAATACTGAAGAAGAGGACACGGAAATCTTTTACAATAATGAGTCTACTATCCCTTCCTGTAGTTCTACCAATAACTGCATATCATTTACTTGAGCCTATTTTAACCAGCATATTACTTGTTTAAAAATGCTATATGGTCTTGATGAATTGAATTTTTATTATGTAGTAACCTTATCCATCTCTATCCAAATGTCTTTTTTTATTTGATATTACAATAGCTTCACCACTTTGTTTAGGTCAGTATTTGCCTATTAGCTGTTTTTCCATCTCTTACATCAACTTTTTGCACAAACTTTTTGCAAAAGGTATCTTTAAACCTGTTTATATGTACGAACCTTTTCTATTTCTTTTAAAGCATTTTCTAAATAAACTCATTATTTAAGATAATTCACTACCTAGCTCTGCCCTTAACCAGATGAGAAGCTTGCATGCATGCTCTCACATCTTTCGTCTCCTTGCCTGCCAACCTCATCACGTTGATACCACCTAGTCCAAGTTATTATTGATATATTCACGTTCCTTGAACTTAGTGGGGTTTTTTTTAAATAATAAACTTTACCACAGTATTCAATCAACTTTTATATATTCCTGACAACATCATCTGAATTCTTCTCTCTCAAGGACTTCATCAGCAGTCTAACACCAGCAGCTCAGGACTCCCAACCACTGGTCACTTAAAGGACACTGAAGACTCAGTCACAAAGCCTGTGAGGGCCTGGCCCAGGTCGTGCAGGCTCGGCTGGACCTGCTTCTTCTACTGCTATGCAGCTGTAAAAGGCCAGGCCCAGAGGGCACCTGGTTATACTTTCTGTCCATTTTCTTTCACAGCCAGGGGCATCTCACCTTTACATTGAGCACAGGCCTTGACCCTGGTCCTCTGCCTTGCCTGGAGTACACTTGGAACTCCTGTTATCCTGACAAACTGTATCCCCGGCTACCTACAGCTACCCAGGCCTACAGGTTTCCACTGTTTATCGCTCTGTGTTTCTGCTCCATTGCTGCTCCCCAGAAACATTTACCTTTTGAGGGGTGTGAGTATACATATTTTTAACAGTTTAATATTTTAAACAAAATATACACCCAAACCCTCTATTATAACTATCTATATCTATATGTGCAAAAAATATGTCCTTTCATTGCCTACTACTCATACTCACCATTTCATTGGGATGGACCAGAAACAAATAGATGCCTGGATGTTTGTCAAAAACCTGAAAGGAGCAATTAGCTTGTTCCATCCGACAAAGTGCTTCAACACATAATTCATCTAAATAAAAAAAAAAAAATAAGCCAGTAAATAAAAGACATAAATCTTATCAGCTTATCAAAACCCCCTAAATATGGCTCCTTTGGTTGTTCTGTAAGTAAATAAAGTTGTTTCTTTCCTTTTTTTTTTTTAAATGAGGCATTAAAAATGCTGATCATGTAACAATATTTACCTATCTGAAAGACTAGTCTAGTGTGATTGATCATGGTGTGTTCCTATAAACTACCCTGACTTTACTGGTATGCAGATTTTTTCTTACATTGGGCATAATTATACCCATAGGATATCTTCTTAGAAGCATGGATATCAGTCCAGTTCCATTAGCATTTTACATTTTGATCCACATGGACTTTATTTAGTACTAGTGATAAAGTGAGCTCTCCCCTCAAGTGGCTATTTTGTCCTACTCTCATTTATTGACTAATACACTTTCTCCACTAGTTTGAAAAGCTACCATCATCAAACAAGCTTCCCAAATATGACTGGTTCATTTCCGGACTCAATGCAGTTCCCTAAGTCTATCTATGCTTACACTGTTCTGATTCCTGCTGCTTTATGGAAATCTCTTCACTACCCTTTCAGAAGTATCCTAAATAGACTCCTACATTTACCCTACCTAATCAATCAGCTTTACTTTCTCAAACTTCAAAGAATATTGTTAGTGACGGAGGATGGCTTTGGGAAACAGTGATAATAACAGGAAAAGCATGAAGGAAGTGCTTGGGTATTGATGGTTTGTTTCTTGTTCTGAGTGCTGGCTACATAGGTGTGTTTGGTGAAAAATTATCATTTATGTACTTTTCTTGGATAGAGTATCTGTTAATAAATGCTTGAAAACTGACTTGTTAGAATTTTAAAACCTAATTATTTAAAACTTATTTAGGGGGCGCCTGGGTGGCTCAGATGGTTAAGCGTCTGCCTTCGGCTCAGGTCATGATCCCAGCGTCCTGGGATCGAGTCCCGCATCGGGCTCCCTGCTCCTTGGGAGCCTGCTTCTCCCTCTGCCTCTCTCTCTGTCTCTCATGAATAAATAAATAAAAATCTTTAAAAAAAAAACAACTTATTTAGGAAGAATTGATGTATCTAACCAAATCTTTAGATCTACTTTTCAGTTTACTGAAAATACAGAGAATAAAGAAGTTAAATAATATCACAAGTAAGCAATCTAAAAAATCCAGAAAGTGCATTATACATTATTCTACAGGAACTATATGGTCTCAGTAAGTCAACATTATGGCAAAAAAAAAAAAAAAAAGTGTATGTGTACAAGTTGACTGTTCTAGATTCAAAGAGATGTACAAAATATGAACCAAGGCAACATATGGTCCCTGATTGGTTCTTATTTAAACAAACCAGCCAAAAACCTCATTTTGCAACTACTGGGAAAATCTGAATATGGACTAGATCCTAGACAGCTTAAAGGTATTGTTATTTGGGGGGAAAAAAAGGTATTGCTATTTTGTTAGATCACAAAAATGTCTTCACTTTTATAAGATTCACATTAAGAAATGCAAATATAAATGACCCAAATCTATGCACCAATAATATGCCACACCTTAGTTAATTAGTGAAAATTACTACAGACCAGTAGTTCTTAACCAGACAGTTTTGCCTCCATGGCGCCCCGCCCCCCCCACCACTCAAGGCTCAAGGGACATCTGGCAATATGTGGAGACGGTCTGGTTGTCATCACAACATGGATAGTGGGAAGAGCAGAGGGCTACTGGCATCTAGTGGATAGAGGCCAGGGATGCTGCTAAACATCCTACAATGGACAGCATAACCCCCACAATGAAGAAGTATCCAGTCCAAAATGTCAATATGCCAATGTTGAGAAACTCTGCTATAGACAAATTACAAGAACAAAAATTAACTAAAGGATAGATGAGTAAATGTGTGATAAAGCAAATACAGTAAGATGCTAGCAACTGGAGAATCTACATGATGCATATATGGTGTTCACCATATCGTTCACTTTTCTGTATGTTTGGAAACTTCCATACTACAATGTTGGGAGAAAGTATGAAGTATCCTTATTATATGTTTAACAAGCAGATTTTCAATACAGATAAAACTAAGCTTCTACAATTCTTAAAAAAGACTGATAAAACTTGTAGAACACCCACGATACTCACTAACACGCTCATGTAAAAGCAGGTAAGGATATTTCAGTATTTCAAGAAGAGGAACTCGAAGCTTATTTTCAAAGTCTTGGCCAGTAAAGTCAAACAGTTGTGCCTCTCCATTGTTGTCTACTATATACAATTCATCATCATCTCCAATTTCTGCCTTCATGGATTTTTCAAAGTGATTTATGAGACGTAAGGTTTCTAATTCCCATAAAACCTATAGAAAAAGAAAAATGGGCAGTACGCTTTATATCTTATTATCAACAAAACACTGGATGTCATGATCTTTTTAGAAAGCTTTCTAACAGAAGTTTAAAGAAGTAATAGATATCACATTAGATTTGAAGAAAACAGTTCCTAAATAAGGCCACTTTTATGATATATGAGTACATACAACGTGAGATGTGTAAACACTGCCCTTGAAGAGTTTTGTTATAAATATCTCAATATCCCTTATCAACTATGAAAAAGGGAATGATGGGACACCTGGATGGCTCAGTTGGTTAAGCCTCCAGCTCTTGATCTCAGGGTCGGGAGTTTAAGCCCTGCACTGGGCTCCATGCCCACTCCCCCAAAAAAGGGGGGGGATGAGAAGTTGGAGCTTCTCTGTCAAAGGCATGACCAGGCCTTCTCTGTCTTCACTTCCATGGTCCAGCCATAGGTACCCACCTTAAAACATTAGCTTTAGCACAGACACTGGTTAGCTTCGTAACTAGGAAACTTAGCAAAGGTTTTCTCAACAGATTCATAACTAATCAACCTCTCCTCCCTTCTACATTATCTGCACATACCTCTACAGTCTGATTGTGTTTTTCATGTAATAAACCAAATATTCAAAGCCACATATTTAAAATATGTTTCACTTTGTTTACGATGACCAGCAAATACACCTGCCCTTAGAAGTTTATACCATTTATCCATTAAAAAATGAAAGAGAAAAAAGAATCAACCTTATTAAAATAACCCAAGCCATTCAGATACATGAATGTAACACTATCAAATATACAGACTTAAAAACATAAACTGAAAAAAACCCATACGTCATTTCATAAAATTGTTTTATATCACGATGACTAAAAGTGAGGGAACCTAAAATTCTACTTAAGGTTTCAATTCAATTCCATCCATCAATCCTGTTTCCTGAATGATTCCAAAAGAGTTCAGGTTTCTCCTCTTCCTCATAATCAAGCTCTGAAAAGTACTGTCCATCAAATGTAAATTACCTCATGCAAGAATGGTAAATCATCCCTTGCTTTGTGGTATTCGGCCACACACTCTAAGCAGTAGCAGAGGTCTTCATTAGCTGTTTGAAACTCACTGGAGTGGGTCTCGGATGCATAGCGCTGTAGGAAGTCAACGGTGGAAATGCCACCTGGCGTACACCAACAACATGTGCTCATTCTGCACCTGTATCCAGAAGAGACAATATCTAAAGAATAAAGAAAAATAACAACACTTCAGGCCTCTCCTGTGTGACCCTCGTCTCTAACTTAAAATGTGCCTCCACCACATGGAGAATGTGCTCCTGGTCAGCTTATCAATTACTGACTGAACTCAAATTTGAACCCACTCTTAAAAACTTTATCTTTGACACATAAAAAATATGAAACGAAAGTACTTTGTTAGTAAAAAAACATCACACAATACGCAACTGTACTATAGAGAAAACTCAAAACTGTGTAGTACTGATGGAAAATTACAGAGACAAAAACCTATCAATGCCTTCAAAGTATAGATTTTGGGAGTATTCTAGTGATGTACTGGAGCCAAGTCAAAAGTTCAGAGAACCTTTACATTCCTAGAAGACATTTTTCCAGAAATCCATGGAAATATAAAAATCCATATTAATCCATACCAATAACAAAACTCAAGAGAATGTTCTCTGGTTTAGAAAGTAAAGGTACAACAATCTGCACACGGTGTGTATGAACCCCACTGTAAGCTGTAATAGCTACAAATGTTAACAACCTATTGCTACTAAGTTTAATACCATTTTTTACTATCTCCAACTTTTTGTTTCTGTAATAACATCAGAGCCTCCACCATCCAAACTCATGTGAAAGGGTTAAGATAAAGTAATTTTCCAAATCCTAGCAGTCTCAAAAAGAGCAAAGTAACAGGAAGGTACCAGGAAACAAGAGGAAATCCCAAGAACCAAATGTGTCAAAGGTTTGAATAAAGATGCACGAATGAGGCAGGTTTATCAGAACTACAGACGGCATGGAACCGAGTGGATCAGCAAACAGGATGAAAGCCAAAATCCAGAGATCTCCAATTCCAATGAGGTGTAATAAAAATAAGATGCTATATTTTTATTCTTAACTAAATGCATACAAAGGTAAATACAAAGCTCATCATCAGTAAACAATGTGTTATGACTAAACAAAAATACAAGGTGAGCCTGGAAATACTCAAAATATAAAAGGATGTGGGAATGTCAAAGGAACACTGGAGCCAACCTCAAAGAGCTCTGGATGACCAAATCTGAAACAATTATCAACAAAGTAACAATGTAATTGTGGATTATAACCCACAGTATAGATACACCTGAGTCCAAACGGATATAAATAAATGACTGCATGAATAAACAAATGTGGGAGACCAACCTTCCTTACAGAAGAATTCCAAATAATACATATACATACTCTGTTCCAAGAGGTGGAGCTTAATCCCACCCCATCTTGAATGTGGGCTGGACTTGCTGACTCACCACAAAAGAGAGTACGGAAAGGGAGATACTATAACATTACAGTGGAGACATCTGGCAAACACAAACTTAACCAAGTACTCAAGGCTCACCTCACCGGAGTTGATAACCCCTCACCTAATGTACTGAGGAAGGAACTTCAATGCTGTAGGATGCTTCTCCCAAACCCATAACCCCAGCCTATTCATGAGAAAAACATCAGACAAACCCAAAGTGACAATTATCTACACAGCTATCAGCCAGTCTGCAACAAGGAAGAAAACCACACACACCCAAGAAGAATGAAGCAAGTGTTCTTTCATATGAAAATGATAATTTATTGGGAATTGGCCCAGAAAAATATCCAACAAGACTGATCTTCAGAAATTTGACCTTAAATTAACTACCCAATGAATATAAAATATCATCCTAATTAATGGGAAACAAGCTGCAAACCCAACTGTAAACTATACACTAACAACTAAGTCCATTTCATAACAGGATGGACCTAACCCAGGCATTCTCATCAGGGGTGACATCATCCTCAAGGAGATGAAAACTGGTTAGTAGGACACAAAAAAGTCCTACCTTTAGGCATAAAGTACATAAAGAGATATATAACGTACTGGTGGTTTAAAATTCATGGGAAATTCATAGGAAAGAACTGTCTAAAATGTTTCCTTTCAGGGAGGGAGAAGGGACAATAAAAGGTTAAGAAACATGACCAAGTCATTAAATATTTGGATACAGAAACCCGGCAGTGTGATGTTTTCAAATGCATTATCATCCTAAACTCAAGAGTGCAAAATCTCTGCTAACGGGAAATCAATGACCTCTTGATAGAAACTGTATTTCACTGCAGAGGCTTTTTTGGCATACTGCCAATTCCTAAAATAAGCTGTTTTTTAAAAAAAATTCCTTATTTTCTTCTTACATCATTGACTAAAGAATTATATATAAATGCGTAAGTAAAATCAAATACACGCATTTGTCTTGTGAATTTTTTTTTTAATGTTTTATTTATTCATGAAAGTCAGAGAGAGAGAGAGAGAGAGGCAGAGGCAGAGGGAGAAGCAGGCTTCCTGCTGAGCAGGGAGCCCGATGCGGGACTTGATCCCAGGACCCTGGGATCATGACCTGAGCCGAAGGCAAGATGCTTAACCATCTGAGCCACCCAGGCGCCCGTCTTGTGAATTTTTAAAATTAATTTATTAAAGTACTAATTGTATGCTTTCTTCATGCAAAAAAATTAGGGTGACTTTCAACATTAAAGCTGAAAAGGACATATAAAAAGGGACAGTCAGAAAACATACAGAAAAGGACATTAAAAAGGAGAAATCAAAACTCATTTATGAGAAGATTTCACTAAGTCCTAAATTAGGAGCTTCCTGAAAAGCAAAGCAAAAAAATAATGTGAGTTACACAGTCCTCACTTGAAAAATAAAAAAAGTAAGCTAGTTCAGCTAGAGAATCCTACTCTTTCCTGACACTAATTCTAATTCAATTACATTCTACTAATGCCCACCCTGTGCAAGCGTGCAGCAAACTAGGGAATACCAAGTAATATAACAGATATTATGGTTTTGCATAAAAGTATTTTATTCAAAGAAGAGTTTCTTACACCTAAAATGCCAATATCATAAATACTCGGAAGTTAGAAGTCTACAGAAGCTGTTTTTTCCGGTGATCTAATTCAAAGTGGGGAGTGAACTTAGAAGATCTAAGATCTAAGAATAGAAAGTGAAACTCCTCGGAGATTTCTCAAACATCATCAGTTGTGTCAAGCAGGATTTGTGCAGTCAATAAAAACTTTGAAAAAATTAAGGATCTGAAGTACAAATAAACTGGTGTAACTTTAAAATAACTAACTTAACCAAAAAAACAAAACAAAACCTTTCTATTAAGAAAATTAAGGAGTCTTTTTGTTTCACTCACCCAAAGAGCTAGCCTACTTCCATACACCAGAAAGGACTAAATTTTCTTGTCATATAACAGATGAGTGCCATGAGTGCCAGAATACAGAAAATAGTGCTATAGAGCATGTCAACAACAGAAACAGTTTCTATGACTCCTCTCGAAAGGTCATAAATGGGTGGTTATGTCCCCAAATCTAAAATCATCACTGGCCTGATAGTTAAGCCCCCAAAATCTAAATGAGATATACAATGTGATTTTTATTTTAAGGGAAAACTGCAGGTAGGTGACCACAAATCCTGTAAGTTTTTGCACAACCCAGTTCTTCTGAAAGTCATTTCTGTTCATTTCCTCAGATTTTAACTGCTTGGAACTATTACTGAGCCACAGATGGTGGTGTCCAGGGAACCCTCAAAATGCAGGACAGAAATAAGAGCTGCACTCTGAGCATCAGAAGAGAGTTGATTTGTCAGTAACATAGGATGCTTCACCAGAAGTATGGACTGACTTTCCAAAGACTGGCCCTGAGGATATCATTTCTCAGTATTAGCCGGCCAGAAACTTTAAATAGCAATCACTTCCCTCTACCTTTCCCAGCTAAACTTCTTGAAAAAGTAATCTGGATTCACTTCCTCAACTCCTTGGCAGTCTGGCTCTAACCTTACATTTCACTGCCACGTCTTACCAAATCCCAGACGTTCTTTACTTGCTGCCTCTGAAGCATACAGAAATGCTGGCCATGCATTTTTTAGCTAAGACAACACACCAATCCCCTTTCACTTCCTCTACCTCATCTCCTTCACAATCACCTCTTCCTTTTTTCTCCCTCTCAATATCAGCGTTTCCAAAGGCTTGCCTCAGGACTCTTCACTGACATCCTCTTTCTGGGTAACCTAATTCAAACCACTGCTTCCATTACTACCTATAAGGAAACCACCCAACGACTGCGAACGTATGTAAAACTCTCAGTGCAATGTTTAACTGTAACTGAGCCACTCAATAAATGACAGCCTAACCCAACCTACAATTTCTATTTGATATCCAACCACATGAAGTCAACCTCTACTCACCTGACAGGCACCTCAAAGTCAAAAACAGAGTAAAACCCTCCGCTTAAATCTGTTATTCACCCTGTACACTCCCATTACGATCCCTTCAGTTTTCAAATCAGTTACCTGGTAATTATCCTATACTCTCCTTCCCTTAGCCCCCATCTTCATGAATTCCATAAAGTCTATCTCCCTTATCATATCTGCACTTTATTCTCAGTGACACTGCCACCGCCTCAGAAGAATACATTTTCACCATCTGTGTGGATTACAGAAGCCTAAATGTCTCTGGCTCTTGTTTCATCCACCAATTTTTCCTCCAAAATGCTGCTGAAGGGCAAAGCAAAAACTGAGTTTTGAATTCTTACAGTTTGGAGATAAAATTCTAATTTTTGACCTCACCACAGAAGGCCCTCCCTAATCTGGCTTCGGCATTTCCTGCCATCCTCCCTCACTTGCTCTTCCTAAAATGGTGGTATTTGGCATTCCCTGCCTTTATAGAAGCTCCTTCAACTGCCTTGAACACCCGCCCTCCATCCCTCTCCCTGGTTCTTAACCCTAAATGCATACCAGAGTCACTGAAAGAACTTAGGAGAAAAATAAAATTCAGATTCCATTTTTTAAAAGAACCTCCCCACTTATTCTGATTAAAAGAGTTGAGAGCTACCTGTGTGCAGTGCATCCCTGAGTGTCACCACATCCGGGGGCTGACCCATCCTCTCTGCCTTTGATGACTTTTCTTCTATCCTCTGGGAACTCTGTATACGTTTGTCACTGCCCTTAGGGCGCTGACTTGAGCTGTTTACTTTGGTCTCCCACCGCTGCCACCCACCTGCTCCATCCTCACCACGTCTGAGTCCGTTAGGGCAAGGATCTGTCTTGTATATTTTTACTCCAGTGCTTGACATATCAAGTGACGGACCAATGTCTTAAACGTTTGTTTAAAAAATAATTACCTGGGCTAATGGCCTACAGAGAAGTGATCCTCTCAGTCGAGATTCCTAGGCTTATTTGTGAATGGGTGAGGATTTGCACTCACATATACCCAGACTCTGGCCCCAAGAGAACATTTCTGAAATAAGACAGAAAAAACTGATGAAGTGGTTTTTCTACGACACCTGAGCGTCATTCTCATCAACTCTGTGAAGTGGAGGCAGCTGGTACCAATGGGTCAAACGGCACGGGCTCAGGGAGGTTAACAGCCTGCCCGCGGGCACCCAAGTCTGCAGAAGGTGCGAGGGCGCTTCTGACTCCGCAGGGGGCCGGCTCCATAGGGGACTGTCCCCGCGCAGAGAACAGCTGGGCACCTCGTCCAACACCCCCGAACTCGGCCAGAGCAGGGAAACTGAGCCCTCGGTCCGCCAGTAACTCTTCCTCCCAACCGGGGGCTCTTCCCCCCTCCAGCCCCCACGCCCCGTTCCCGCAGGGCCGAGCGCGTCTTCGGCCCCTTGCAGCCCCGGCAGGCGCGGAGGCGGACAAAGCCCCTCCGCCGGCCGCCGGCGCCTTCAGGTGGGGAGGGGAGGGCCATCCGGGGCAAGAACACTCTCCGAAACGGGGAGAAGGACCCCGGGGCGCGAGGACGGAGACTGTCTCCCGCGAGCCCCCGACTCATGCCCAAGTCAGCCGCGCAGGGGCCAGACCAAAGGCAGCTCGCACGAGACCGCAGCGGAGACGGCAGCGAGGGAGGGGCGGGGGTCCCGACGCCCGGGACCCCGGGCCGCAGGAGGCGCCGCGGGCCGCTGCCGCCTCCCGCGCCGCGGCCCTCCTGAGGGGAGCGGCCCCACTCGCGCCGCCCCTCCCCCACCCGCCCGGGCCTCACGCGCCGCGGCGGTTACTCCACGAGGCCGCGCGCGAGCGCTCACGCCCGCCGGGCCCGCGGCCTCGAGCCCGCCGCTCGCCTCACCCCGCTCGGCCCCGCGTCGGCCGCTAGCCCACCTCCATGCCTCGGCTCAACAGTCGGCCGAAGGCGGATGTACGGGCCCACACCCGTCTGCCTCCGTCCCGACCCGGCCACCCAACCCGGCGGCGCCGCGCGCGAAGGCGCCGCCCCCCGCGCTCGCGGCGTCGGCCAAACGCAGGCCCCGCCCCCGCCGCAGCTTTCTTGTTTTGGGGCGCCGAGGGGCGGGGCGTGGAAGAGGCGCACCCGGGCTCCGCGGGGAGGCCGAGAAGCTCGCGTCACTTCCGGGATGCCGGGCTCGGCCAATCGGGAGCGCCCGTGTTGGGGGAAGGCGGGGCATTGGCTGCGAGGCGGTGAACGCGGCCCCGCCCAGGACTCGCTTCCGGTAAGGGCCGCACCCTGATGCGCCTAGCCGGGGGCGGGATCCGCGCCTACCCTACTGCGTTTTTTTCCCGTCCCTTTTCTTCTCTTTTCAGCGCCTCAGGTACTGTTCAAGATCAGGAAGGATTTTTTTCCCCCCTTTTTCATCGCCTTTAAATACCTAAGATGTGTAATCAACACCTAATTTTGGGATACGTACACCCTGTATTACAGAAAAAGGATACACGAAGGATGGTAAAGACAGCAGCAACCACCACTGGGAAGCATACCCGGTTTGGACCGCCTACCCCTGACTTGGGTGGCGAGGTGTCTCCACCCGCCTCTACTCTGGTGGAGGAGGCGGAGACCGGTGCCAACCGACGCTACCGAGGACCGGAGCGGCGGGCACTGGCGGGCCAGCGACGGCCGCACCGCAGGGACCCGTCACCGAGGACTGAATGGAGGCCGGGGGCGTGGGCGGGCGGGGAGAACCTTCCAGCGAGGGGGCGTGGCTTGGCCCCCTCCCCCACTCCTGTCCGTTGCGGCACCTGAACTGTCCCCGCACCGCGCGCTGCAGCGCGAGAGCAACGACCGTTGCTCGCCTCGTTTCTCGATGCTTCTCTGCCACACGCCTCCCCCCGCCGAGTACCTAAGAACGTTACAGAACCGCTGCGCACCGTACTCGTTACAATAAGGTGTGTGTGTGTCCTCATTAAAGTACTGTGTTGACGGAACACTGGTCTGACATGAGGTTCTGGATGGCTGTTGGCAAGAAATTTAAGAGACGGATAAGATGATAAAAATAAATAACCTGGATTTCGTATTTCCCTGACATCACCATTTTCACGTAGACCCTTGCAGAATGTGTTACTTAGGTTTTGACTAAAGTGGACGGGAAGGAGTATTGGGAAAAGGTCAAGCTCCTCACCACCACGGCAGAGACAAAATGATCACCTTGAATACTGAACAGGGTTATTTTGCCCCCAGACACACGAAAATGTTTTAACTTCTTCGAAAATTAGGAAAACAAGGCGCAAGTTTAGGTTGGATCAAATCTTTTAATAGTTAACATATGTGTCTTTATACCAACATAGTCACAGTTTTGGTATTTTTAAAGAGGAACGTGTTCATGAAGGCAGAAAGTGCCCAATTCACAATTTCATCCTGCCTCGGAGCCTTCTGTGAGCCTTTTAATTCTACCACATTTGCTTTCAATCTGTAAATGATATATTGATATATTTGCATGCTTTTTAACTTTATGAAATTACCCTAAATGCGTTTTACTGGAAATTGTTTTTTACACTCAACTTTATGTCCTGTGACTCACTGATCCAGGGTATACTCAGGATTTGTAGAGCCCAGAGCTTACACAATTTGAGGGTTAGGGTTAGGGGCTCAGCAGGCAGCCTCCCTGCAGTTGTAGGACACCAACAGTCCCCTCTATGAATACAAAATTAGGAATAAAATTAACATTTAGGATGATTAGCACAAATTATACATTTTTTAAATAGACAAGATCCACTAAAATAAAAAAAAAATCTCCCCCCCCCCCCGAAAAACAAACTACAAACACAGCTCTACAAAAATTGTGTATTTTGGCTTCACACACTTTAATTACCTCAACAATAAGGTTGAAGATCTTTTTCAATAGAGAACCCAAAGGGAATGCAGTCTTTTCTCTAGCAAGGGTGATGAAATTTTATTAAGAGTTTATAAAAGTTGGGCGCCTGGGTGGCTCAGTTGTTAAGCATCTGCCTTCGGCTCAGGTCATGATCCCAGGGTCCTGGGATCGAGCCCCGCATCAAGCCCCCACATCAGGCTCCCTGCTCAGCGGGAAGCCCGCTTCTCCCTCTCCCACTCCCCCTGCTTGTGTTCCCTCTCTCGCTGTGTCTCTCTCTGTCAAATAAATAAAATATTTTTTAAAAAGTTTATAAAAGTTTTGGGGCATGTGACTGGCTCAGTCAGTAGAGTGCATGACTCTTGATCTGAGGTTGTGTGTTTGAGCCCCAGGTTGGGTGTAGAGATTACTTAACATCTTAGTGGTGCCTAGGTGGCTAAGTTGGTTAAGCGTCAGACTTTTGATTTTGGCTCAGGTTGTGATCTCAGGGTTGTGAGATCAAGCCCCACGTCAGGCTCTGTGCTCAGCAGAGAGTCTGCTGGCTCTCTCTCGCTCTCTCTTCCTTTCCCTCTGCTCCTCCCCTCGATCTCTGTCTCTCTCTCAAATAATAAATAAATATTTAAAAAAATAAAATAGGGGTGCCTGGATGATTCAGGTCGTGATCTCGAGCTCAGAAGGGAGGTCTGCTTCTCCCTCTCACTCTGCGCACGCGCAGACGTGCTCACTCTCTCTCAAATAAATAAAATCTTTTAAAAAAATAAAACTTAAAAATAAAGTTTATAAAAGTTTCTTTCAAATTGATTCCATCTGACAATGTCATGTAAATTTTTAGGGTTGTCAAATTAAAATTACTAGCAAGTTTTTTTTTTCACATGACCTGTAAGATTTCAGAGCCCAGTTTCTGATGTAGTGACTGAGCCTAAATATTTAGAACTGATGACACATTATTACAAGGCTGTCATGGATGTTCTCATCTTTAGAAACATATTGTGACTTTTATATGTCAGTACTTTATGTCAAAATTTCAGTACTTTGGGGTGCCTGGGTGGCTCAGTCGTTTAAGTGTCTGCCTTCGGCTCAGGTCATGATCTCAGGGTCCTGGGACCGAGCCCTGCATTGGGCTCCCCGTTCAGCAGGGAGTCTGCTTCTCTCTCTCCCTCTGCCCCTCCAAAACCCCCCACACCCACTGTTTGTACTCTCTCACACGTACTCACTCTCTCAAATAAATAAAATCTTAAAAAAAAAAAATTTCAGTGCCTGGGTGGCTCAGATGGTTAAGCATCTGCCTTTGTTTGGCTCAGGTCATGATCCTGGGGTACTGGGATCGGGTCCCACATCAGGCTCCCTGCTCCTTGGGGAGCCTGCTTCTCCCTCTGCCTCTGCCTCTCTGTCTCTCATGAATAAATACGTATAATCTTAAAAAACAAAATTTTTTTTCAGTACTTTCGGCATGCCTGGGTGGCCAGTCAGTTGGGCGTCTGACTCTTGGTTTCGGATCAGGTCATGATTTCAGGGTCCTGGGATCAAGCCCCACGTGGGGCTCCATGCTGAGTGGGAAGTCTGAGATCCTCTCTCTCTCCCTCTCTTTGCCCCTCCCCCCACTCCCATGCTCTCTCTCAGATAAATCTTTAAAAAAATTTCAGTAATTTCTCCAGTTTGATCATGTGACTCATTCCTCATTGTCATTGCATTATCAACAACCCGAGAATCTCTTACTCGTTATTTCTATTTGAAATTGATCTCTTAATGAATTATTGAATTTTTTGTTATAATTTCTACTGATTTCAACATCATTTATCTTCACTTCTGTCTCATATTCCTTTAATTTCTGTCAACTTCATGTAGTTTATATAGTTATACACAATAAAATACTAAATAGTGCATGGTTTGAGAACTTTTATTTTACTTTTTAAAGATTTTATTTATTTGACAGAGAGAGACACAGTGAGAGAGGGAACACAAGCAGGGGGAGTGGGAGAGGGAGAAGCAGGCTTCCCACAGAGCAGGGAGCCCAATGCAGGGCTTGGACCTGAGCCAAAGGCAGACGCTTAATGACAGAGCCACCCAGGTGCCCTGGTTTGAGGACTTTTAACAACTCCATAATTTCATGTAACCATCTCCAAACATGATATAAAACATTTTTTTTTCAACCCAGAAAGTACCCTTGGGACACTCTCCAGTAAATCCCCTTCTCCACACTCACCCAATGGAACTGGCGATCTGATTTCTGTCACTTTATCTATCACCATAGATTCATTTAGACTGTTCTAAACTTTTTTTTTTCTTTTTGAGAGAGTCAGAGGGAGAGGGAGAGAGAGAATCTTAAGCAGACTCCATGTTCATCAAGGGGCTCAAAGTCACAACCCTGAGATCACGACCTGAGCCAAAACCAAGATTCGGATGCCTAACTGACTGAGCCACCTAGAACTCTGGTACCCTTAGAACTCTTTTCAATGGAATAATATATTATGCACTCTTTTCTCATGCTTTTGAAATACTTCTAAAAATGTTTTATCTCTTAATGCAGCAACTTCAAATAAAGTTTTTCCTAGTATTTGGTGGGAAACTTGGTCCTGGGAGAATAGGAAGTGAGGTATTTACTATCATTTACTATCATGACTGAGCTGAATTTCAGTCCCATTCCCTTCCATTCCTTGTCCCGTAGGCCCTCGGTATACCCTTCACACCTCTTCCAAAACCTTCTCTTCCTGAGCAGTGAGAGTTGGCAACAAGGGCCATTTAACCCTCAGATCCATGAACACAGAACCTGGGGCTTTGGAATTTGCAAGAGGTTAATAAAATGTTGCAAGCCTGGAAGGAAATTACTGAATGAAAAATCTAAAGCTATAATACTAGTATCAATAAATATTGAAGTTTTTACAGAAAGAAACATGTCTAACCATCCACTGCAATTCATTTCAACTCACATAATTTTACGCAAATATTCTCAAACGTGGGCTGTAGGGTATCTGATATAATGTGAGAGATGTAGGGCTTCCAAGAAGGCCAGAGTGCATGGAACCAGTAGAGGCCTCCTAGGACCCTTCCTGGTAGCTCAGCCTTTTCCCTTCAGCTTTACCAGCAGTCCTGAAATCCGGCTACCCAGCCTCCTCTGCTCACAAACAATGGTGACCCCAGAAGAGATGAGTGAACATCTCTCCTGGACCAGCCTGTGCGACTAGACCAAGCCTGAGGGTGAAAGGTGTCCTTCAGTCCCAAGGTGAAAACCGCTCAACAGAACAGCATTTTCAAGGAAGGAAGTCAATGCTCCATAGAGGCAATGACTGGTTTGGGAGAAGAGGAGAAATACAAGCTTAATCTTTTGACCTGTCAAATGAAAGACATGTTCTCAAGTGAATAGATGCAATACACGGGGACTTTATTACTGAGCTTGGGGAGGGAAAATAAAACACACAAATTAAAAAAAAAATTTTTAACCTTCTGAATACATGACTAGCGCTTCTTTTGGCACCTGAGAAAGTGCCCTTGCAGAGGATGGCCTCTGGAGCTGAAGCTTTAGCAGCTTCATGGTCTGTTCACCTCTGCATCCATCAATCCATTTGTTCATCAGATACTTATTGATCATCTAAACTAGGGGGGGCAGCGATGAAAATGTCATTGCCCACAATTCTGGTGTGCAGTTGCTGTTGTAGATAGAGTACCTTTCATGTTTGTTTCATGAATCTGTCTTTGCACAAGTGCGACATTGTGGATTTACGGTTAACTCTTGAAACTGGCATGTAAATATCCCCACCTTGTTTTATTCCAAGATTGTATCCGCTACTTTTTGCTTTTCCGCCTAAGTTTTAGAATTAGCTTATTCATTTCATAGAAAATCTTGTTGGTATTTTTACTTTATTGTATAGAGTCTATAGATCAATTTAGGGAGAATTAACATCTTTACAATTGAGTCTTCCAGTTATCAAATATACTGTATTTCCCCATTTATTTGTCTAAGTTTCTGCCAATAATATATATATGTACATGTATATATACATGTTTTATTTAGAAATCTTTAATATTAAGGCATTGTACCTTTTTAAAATTAATTATTTATTTTAAAGATTTTTATTTTTTATTTGTCAGAGAGAGAGAGAGAACACAAGCAGGGGGAGCGGCAGGCAGAGGGAGAAGCAGGCTCCCCACTGAGCAGGGAGCCCGACGTGGGGCTCGATCCCAGGACCCTGGGATCATGACCTGAGCCGAGGGCAGATGTTTAACCGACTGAGCCACCCATGCATCCCTATACCTTTTTTAAAAAACATTTTATTTTTAAGTAGTCTCTACACCCAATATGGGGCTCAAACTCAACCCTGAGATCAAGAGTCACATGCTCCACCAACTGAGCCAGCCAGCCAGATGCCCTGGCATTACACCTTTTTAAAGAAAAGTATTGAAGAAATTATATAGGGTAACAAAAAAAATGAATTATCAGTATTTGCCAATGTTTTGTTTACCTGAAATGTTATTTCAGTTATAAAAACATCTCCTGTAACAAAAAATAATCAAAACCTTTACTGGATTTAACCCTTTATTTTAAAGTCCTAAATATTTTTTTCACTTCTTTTCTTAAAGATTTATTTTATTTGGGGGGAGAGCATGGGCTGGGGGGCAGGGGCAGAGAGAGAGGGAGAGTGAGAATCCCAAGCAGGCTCTGTGCTGAGCCCGGAGCCTGATGTAGGGCTCCATCCTATGACCCTGAGATCATGACCTTGAGCCACCGATACCAAAAGTCGGACGCTTAACTGACTGAGCCACCCAGGTGCCCCTAAAGCCCTAAATCTTAAGGTAAACAATATTTTGGGTAGAAAATATGCTAATTTTAAAAGTTTGGTATGCTATTTCTATGGTTTATTAACATATATTATGTACACGTAGCTGGTCCTTTTTATAGTAAACCTGGCTAGGTTAATCACTTATACTAAGCATTGTAAAATAAAGGTAAGAGCAAAATGTTTTTAGCAAAATACTCTGTATGAAAGAACTGTAAGTATCAAATATATTCATTAGTAGTTGTTATAGACTGAATTGTGTCCCCCACCTTTCCCACATTCCTATGTTGAAGCCTAATCTCCAATGTCACTGTGGAGACAGCATTTAAGGAGATAATTAAGGTTAAATGAGGTCATAATGAATAAGGAAAGGGTTAAGGTATAGGCAGGGAGAGGTAGGGGGCCCCTGGCTGGGCTCTGAGACTATTCCTGGCAGGCAGAAGCACTAAGCCAGAGTGAACAAGAAATAGGGGAACAGACCTCCTGGCCTCGGATGGTGGGGAGTATTTTTTCTTTGGCAGCTACAGTGTAATCACAGAAAATGACCAAACTTCAAAGAAGTAAGTCATGAAAGGTATTATCAAGAGTCCGTGCTCAAACCAAGATGGCACAAGAATCTCAAGGCCACAAGCTTCCAAGTTGGTTTTCAAGAAAACACTGCCCCTAAAAGCCCTCTGTGGCAACCCATCTGGGACCGCTCTCACTCTAGACAGCTTCTTTGCTTTCTGCTCTCACCTTCACTTAATAAACTTTCATTTCACTTCACCCTTTTGTGTCCGTGAGATTCTTTCTCTGACTTTGTGAGACAAGAACCCTGCGATCCTGTAACAACAAGGATGAGTCCCTAAAACCAATAGGACCGGTGTCCTTATAAGAAGAGGAAGAGACACCAGAGGGCACACACAAAGGGAAGTCCACAGAGGACACAGCGAGAAGGTGCCACCTGCCAGCCAGGGAGAGGGCGCACCAGAAAGCAACCCTGCTGGTACCTCCATCTTGGAGCTGTAGCCTTCCAAACTGTGAGAAAATAAGTTTCTGTCGTTTAAGCCGCTCAGGCTTCCATATGCTGTTATGGTAGCCCTAGCCCATGAATACAGTGGTTGGTAATTATCTGTGACAAAACATGTAACAAAATATCTTCACTGAATTGTCTTTCAGATTACAGCTGCCCTTTGGCATCTGAAAGGGTTTCCCATAAAAATACGCTGCAGTGAAATTCACTTCATTAGTTTATATCGATCTCTTTTTTTTTTTTTCCTCCCGCCTCCTTTCACACTGGCACCATAATATTGGAAGCATTAAGTACCTGGGATTCACACCTTCTATAAAGACATTATTTGAGTAATTTCAAATGATGCATAGCTCTTTGCGTTAAAAAGATGCTTTGTGGTCACAGCTACTTCAAAAAGCCAGTTATATTCAAATAGCCTGACATATCCTGCTTCAGCAATGACAGACGCATGTTTTGAGATGTGGCAATTTATTTATTTACTTACTTACTTAAAGATTTTATTTATTTGACAGAGAGAGACAGTGAGAGAGGGAACACAAGCAGGGGGTAGTGGGAGAGGGAGAAGCAGGCTTCCTTATTTATTTATTTAAAGATTTTATTTAGTTGACAGAGACAGTGAGAGAGGGAACACAAGCAGGGGGAGTGGGAGAGGGAGAAGCAGGCTTCCCGCTGAGCAGGGAGAGCCCGATGTGGGACTCGATCCCAGGATCCTGGGATCAGGATCCTGGGATCATGACCTGAGCCAAAGGCAGACGCTTAACGACTGAGCCACCCAGGCGCCCCTAATCAGACCTTCTTAAAGCAGAGAGATTATCTAGGTGGGCCCAAACTACTAGCTTAACAGCTAAAGACTGAGGCAGAAGAGTGGATCAAAGGGATGCTACATTAGGATTCGACCTCTTTGCAGGCTCTGAAGATGGAGGAAGGGGACCACAAGCCAAGGAATGCAGTAGCCTCTAGAAGTTGCGAATGACCTTGAGTTTACATCCAGCAAGAAAAGAGCTCTGCAACCATGAGGAACTGAATTGTTCCAACAAAGCCAAGTGAGCAGGAAGCAGATTCTCCTAGAACCTCCAGAAGAGTGCAGCCCTGAGGCTATCTTGATCTTAGCCTTGGGACCCACACCTTTGAAGACACTATGACAGAGTTTGACCATTACCCACATGCAGGGTAACCCACAGGGAACCCACAACACGAGTTTTAAACAGGGTGATGTGATGTGACCAATTCTGCAGCTGTGGGAGGAGACTGGAGAAGGGTCAGTAGCAGCAGGAGGGAGATCGGTGTAGTTAGAGGATGATGTTTGAGACCATGACAGAGGCGGGCAGAACTGGACAGATTGCAGATGATTGACCGGAGGTGGAGCTGATGGGTTTGGTAAGGGACTAGATGTAGAGGGATGGCGGCAGCAACAGTGGATGGTTCCCAGGTTTCTGATTTGAACTCTGTGAACGTGATACCCCTGGCAGAAATGAGAAAGCCTGGGCGGTGACGCACTTTGAGGTGTGTGGGGGTGACTAAAACATTGTTAACAAGTCAAACTTGAGATGTGAGACACCTGAATGGAGATCACAAGTAGGCAGATGCGGTTTTCCTTTTTCAAAATTTTATTTATTAAGTCATCTCTTCCCCCAACATGGGGCCCAAACTCACAACCCCGAGATCAAGAGTGCACGCTCTGCAGACTGCACGAGCCAGGCATCCCCCGGCGATGCATCTTTCAGCCTGGAGTACAGGGGAGAATCTGATCTGTAACCATGCAACTGGAAGCCGTCAGCATGTCGAGGTTATTCCAAGGCACTGAGGATGTGAAGAGAGGCCCCAACAGTCCCGAGGACCACGGACATTTAGAAGCTGGGTGCAGTGGGAGGAGCACAGAGGAAAGCGCCCATTCCACACTTGTACTAATACGTACATATTACATATATATTTAAAGATGGGTGATTTGGGAGCATGTTTACGGTGATGATGATCCAGAACAGAAGAGACTGACGTTAGGAGAGGGATCAGCAAAAGATCAAAATCTTCAAGACAATGTAAGGGGCAGACTGAGGGGCTCAGGCGCAGGGTGAGGCTTCGGGCAGGAGGAATGAGTGCAGATGGAGGCAGGATCGCCTGGTTGGTGGAGGGAAGAGGGAGTTGACGTCCGCTGCCTTCAACTTGCTCAGTGAATCATGTAAAGGGCAGAAGAAGGGTGTGGGAGGGTTGAAGGCATAATGGCTGATGTGAGGAAAGAACAGCAAATGTATCAGAGAATCAAAGTAGATCCTCTGGTGACGCTGTGTCTGAGGCTGACAATCATTAAAGTGAAACCAGCCAGCTCAGTTGTTTTTTTCCCCCCAAAGATTTTATTTACTAGAGAGCAAGTGAGCACAAGCAGGGAGGGGCAGCGGGAGAAGCAGGCTTCCAGCTGAGCAGGGAGCCCAATGCAGGGCCCGATCCCAGGGCCCTGGGATCATGACCTGAGCCAAAGGCAGAAGCTTCACCAACTGAGCCACCCAAGCACCCAGCTGCGTGGTTTTCTTCCAGAAATAGTTACCTCTTAGGTGCAGGGAGGAGGCAGATGGAAGGGCTCACCCAGGCTTGGCGTCTTGGACGGGAAAGTGCCACCAAGGGAGAGGACGCAGAGCAGTGGGTGTTCAGAAGAGAGCAACAATAGAAACAGACTCGGTGACAGCTTGGTCAGGCTGTGAGCCAACTGGTGGACAGATGCACCGTTTGATGAGGCCGGGGAATTAGGACTGGCGGGTATTTCAGGAGCTGAACTGGAAATGGTGTTCAGCAAGCTCTGGATTGTGTCGCCTGCAAGTCTGCCTGGTTCCCTCTGGCATCTTCAGCTCCTGCTGTGCTTACTCAGTGTGTGTGTCAACAACTGTGGAACTGAAAGTGGCCTGGAGGAGAATTGAGGTCTTGGTCTGATTATGACGCTCATGTCCCACCTCCCCTCTGCCGCGGTCTTGGACCTCTCTGTTGGGGAATGAGGTCCACAAATGAAGCTCAGCAGCTGAAAAGCGTGCCTATTGAAAAGTGCAAATGACCAGAACTGGGGTGGAAACTCAAACCATGCACGGGCAAGACTGTTCAAAACAATTTTATTTGTTCCTCCGTCTTGTTTCTTATGAGACAGGTTGAGCTCACTCGCTCTCTTTCTCTGGGTCGGCTCTTCCTCCTTCACGTCCTCCCAAGTACAGACTTTCTACACCTTTTCCCCTTTTCAGACTCTAAATTGGGGTTGTCTGCTTGATGGCTCAGCCCTCACCTTCGTGGAGCTGACAAACCCGCCTCTCGAAGGTTGCTTGCCTGTCCTCCTTGCGCCACAGACCAGGGGTCTCCGCCCAGCCTGCACAGCCCAGAGCAAACTCACGGTTTCCCCGCACAATCTTCTTTTCCTGGACCTGCACTTGACATACACAATCTACTACTCTACCCGTCTTTTTCTTCCACAGTCCAGGACTCTTAGATGTAAAAACAGTGTTTGGCAAAGGCTAACATTTCTATGGTGCATTTTTTTTTTTTTTTGAGGGGAGAGGCATGGAGATATCAATGAGAAAAAGTTACAAAAATAGAACTCGTACAAAAAGTACACAAGTTCATTGGGCAAGATTCACAGCACAGGCAATTACCCACTGTCAGCACACATCTGTGGGTTGCTTCCTCAGAGTGCTCTTCACCTCCTCTGCTAATGGGACTCTGATTTTTCCACTGGGGTATTTACCTTCCCAGCCACTCCAGGCGTGCTGTGCTAAATCCCAGCTCCAGAGCAGAGCCCAGACTGGCTGAACACAGTCCTCTTTTCCTGTCTCCAGTGATGATTCAGAGCTGGGCACAGGCTCTAATTTGGGCACTGGGAGCAAAACCCAGGACTTAAGCAAGAGCAACTGGAAGAGACCTTTTTTCCTTCCTCTGAAGGGGGAGCAGGTCTGCTGAAGCATGTGACTATGAGAAGGGGCCCCTGTGTGTGTACTGAAGATGAAGTGGACAATGGCGAAGGGGGAGCAGAAAATGCGCCAGAAACCCCATCTTTGGTGACCACAAGTAGCTGAGTCAGTCCTTACTTGGACTTTCAGTCTTGAGAGTTCCCGGATTCCTTAGATCCATGTGGGTCCCATTTTCTGGCACTTGCAAATCCAGAGTTCTACCCTATAAATTCACAATCCCACTGCCCCGAGAGAAACACTGTCGACATTTTGGGTTTAATTTCTCCCACACGTTTTAATGCATCTACATATATATCATTTCCTTTATTTTCTTACTTTTACAAAACTGAAAATACTCTTCTGAAATATTTTAGTTGATAATATTGTTTACCTCTTTTTATGTTGACCCAAACTATAATAATCATTTTTAATTATTGGATAATATCCCATTCTAGGAATATACCATAATTTAACAGATTTCCATTAAGGAACATTCACATTTTTGTCTGCTTTTCAAATTATGAATGTGCCATTCTTATACATGAGTTCTTTTATTTCTGAAAAGTGAAACCGCTTTATCTCTGTAAGTGAAATTGCTGGATCATAAAATACATTCTTAAGGCTTTGCTGTATTTCACTGGATTGTCCTCCAAAAGGAACTTTCATTCCTGTCAGCATGGGGACAGGTATGTTCGATGGATAGGAGGTGACGAAAGGTAGAATACTTGCTAAAAAGAAACATCCACTTGTTTGCTGCATATTTACTGAGTGTCTCTTGTGCGTACAACACCGTGACAGGCGCTGGGGATATGCTGGTGACCAGCCTCCTAGACCGGTCTCTGTACTCTTCCTTCTCCAAGTATGGCAGCTTTGGAAAAATGTCTAGCTTTGTGGATGAATTAACTGACAGCGCACACGTCATGATGTGAGATAAATGGCATAAGAGAGAACACTCGGGAGATGGTGGAGTCCAGTCTTGGCACAGATGGTGACATGGCTGCATGGGACGTTGCTCACCCACACCATGTTCACATGTGGCCAAGAGCCTGGAACGCTCATACCCCTTGCAGGGCAGCGGGGGCCACAGTTACCCAGGGCTTGGCAAGTCAGCCTTCCCGTGTGCGCTCTCAATCCTATATAACAATTTTGTAACCTAAATCCCTACATTAAATCCTTCTCTGTGTGAAACACCTAGAGCGGTTTTGCTTTCCTGATTTGACGGAAGAGCCCAACATGTAAATTATCCTTGAAATTCTGTGAGGTGTGAGCTATGCCTTAGACCCACATGGCATCTTTCCATAAATCTAACAGAGCCAGATTTCTCTGGAAGCAGTGGAAGAGACTGCTGGGTTTTTGTCTTGGATTTTGTTTTTTTTCCCAGTTGGAACACCAGATGAACTCACTGACTGCCCTTGAGAACGCATCTTGTATGCAAAATACGTACCCTTAAACACCTGACTCCCTCAGGAAGATGAGATCCGCACACGGAGGCAGGTACATGCAAATGGAAGCCAGGCTGAGAGACCAGCAGATCCATAGCCCCCTGCGAATGCTTATCTAGAACTCACATTGCCTGGGCACACAGAGTGACAACTGGGAAAACAGAAAGCAAACTGGCATGCGTGCCTGACTACAACTGTCAGGGTTCCCATTTTGGGGGAGTGTGCGTGTGGTGAAATGCACACAATGAAATGTTCATGGGATGGGACTCTCCCCTCTGCTGCCACGAGAGGGACTTGGGATACTGCTGTTCTACAGAAACTGCCAGGTGGGCTTATCTTCAACAGTCCAGCAATAGCAAATCAACTCCGGATGCTCCTTTCTTTGCGCACGCAAACACACTAGAGTCTGAAAGGGTGAATCGCTTTGGGAGGCTCCATAATACGAAGTATCGTAGACGTCCCCTTCCTCTGGCCGTGGCCCCTTCTCTACTAAACATCAGTACTGAAAGCAGCGTCTCTGCCCCATGCACAGAAATACAACCAAACCTGGAGAGGCGGGCAAGACACAGCACTGTCCCCTACCTCTTCTCCCCGTCTTCTCCCTCACTGTCGTCGTCACGATAGAAGATGTCACTGAACCGGAAGGCCTGCCTGGGTGTCGCGGGACTCTGGATTTCGGTGCCCGTTCTCTCCACCTTCTTCTCTAACTTTTCCTTAAGCAGAGGCAGGGTGGTCTCGTAAAGGTAGTCTATAATCTCTAAAAAAAGAAATGTAATTTTGACATTATTTGTACAAAGCCTCCTTCCCAAGGTCAAAGGGCAGAGGGCACGGATGTGGGTGGCCCACTGCTGCTATTACTGTGTGCAGTGGTCCTGTTCTAACTGGTTTACTTGTATTCACCAGTCCCCTCAGAATCCTAGGAGGAGGGCATTACTGTCAGCCCATTCTTCAAATGAGGACACCGAGGCCAAGAGGCATTATAAATCATGGCCAAGGTCGTGGAATTTGTAGGGGCGAACGCAGTCGGGATTCAAACCCAGGCAGTGCTATCTGCTAAGTGTCAGAAGTAGTCATCACACACTCCAGGGCAAAGCATCACCCAAACTCGTGGTTCCCGAATGCTGGTGCTGGGCAGACCGCTTGAGGCTCTCCTTGAGCCTGTTAGAGAAAATCTAGCCTCTGGACGCAGTCTGGAGGTTAGAATTCGGTACGTATGGGACGAGGTCCGGGTATGTATGTGTTCAACAAGTTCCCCAGAGGACTCTGATGATCTGAGTTTGGGAATACCGAAACCACCCACCAATGGCTGCAGAGAAGGAACTGGGCATCTTAGGTTTGTTCTGGAACCGTGTATGCTCACGTGTGCATGTCAGTGTGTGGCGTGTGCGCACATGATGGTGATCCAGGAGCACTCAGTTATCTACCGAGTGCTGGCCACGCACCGAGCGCCCTGCTGACCACGGTTCATCTATTATCTCACTGAGAACTTCGAAAGTCCCGTCAGGTGGGGATGAACAGGCGGTGATCTCTCCCATTCTACAACCAAAGAAACCGAGACTCCCAGAGTGAAGTCATGCGTCCGAGGTCACACTCCCAGCACGGGGCACCACCTGCTGTGTTCTCAACTATTTAAATATTAGAAATGCTGACCTGGAAAAGTCTTCTTCTGCCAAAAGGGAACACAGGTAGCTTTCAGCTTATAAAATTTAGTTTGAACATAGGACGGAGGAACATCACTTTAGAAAGGAAAAGATAAAAAAAAGTTAGCATCAGTTTAAAAACTGGTTATTTCACTACTGTGTACGAACTACGTCGACTCGGGAATCTACAGGTATCAGTAACTTTCTTAATCCTGAACAGGAAACCATGGTGTCCACAAATGTGGGACAAAAATAAGACACACATGAAAAAGCTGTCGTTCATTTGGGTAAAAAGCACACACACAAAAGAAAGAAGGTGAAAAGCACAAGACAGATCCTGTTTAAATTACACTACTAACATAAGCTGATGCTTACCTTGTACTTGGCCCTGCCCTAAGGGCTTCCTTTCTAGCCACAAACAATCCACACAGCTGCTCTATGAGGAGCTACTTTTTTTTTTTTTTAAGGTTTTATTTATTTATCTGAGAGAGAATGGGAGACAGAGAGCATGAGAGGGGGAGGGTCAGAGGGAGAAGCAGACTCCCTGCTGAGCAGGGAGCTCGACGCGGGACTCGATTCAGGGACTCCAGGATCATGACCTGAGCCGAAGGCAGTCGCTTAACCAACTGAGCCACCCAGGTGCCCCGAGGAGCTACTACTCTTGTGCCTCATTTTGGAGATGGGGAAACTGAGGCACAGAGAAGTGGCCCAAGATCTTATAGCTAATAAGGGGGAGGGCTGGGACTTCAACTGGGTGGTCTGACCCCAAAACCCATACTCTTCACCACTTCACTTAAGATAAATGCATATTTGTCACAATCCAAAGGCAGATGTCCCCCGATTTTTTATTTTGCAAAGCTAAAAAAAGCACGTTTATGATGTTTTGGTGAGTCAAATGTATTTTCAATTTACAGTAAGTAGGACAGACACAACCAAATCTTATTTTTTTTTAAAGTGAAAATCTCTAACTTTACTTCCTGGTCACTTTTTCTTAGACGATAAAAGCAGGACTTATTTCAATAATTAGTTAACCTAGTAGTTAATTAGTGTGAATACATTTACTCTTACTGGGTTCTTCCTCACAGCAACCACTAGCTAGGTGCTCTCTGTGTGTCCCTACTGAGCTATGTGTCCTCCACGGCCGATCTCCTTAGTCCTCGTTATGGTCCTATTAAACCATTTTGTGGATGAAGAAACTGAGGCTCAGACACAAGTTAAGGAACAACGTGCCCAAGGACAGCTAAATAATGAGTACCAGGAGTCAATACCAGGTCAGTCTGACCATAAAGGCCTAGTTCTAAGGCCCCCATGCCTTCCAACTCTTCCTGCAGGGCCGTGAGTCCTGTGGGGCATGCTGCAGACCCAAGCTAGGGTTTGGAGAAGTCACAATAATGGATCTGGACATTTTTTCTTTTTTTTTTTTTTTTTTAAAGACTTTATTATTTATTTATTTATTTGACAGAGAGAGATAGCAAGAGCAGGAACACGAGCAGGGGGAATGGGAGAGGGAGTAGCAGGCTCCCCGCCAAGCAGGGAGCCCGATGCGGGGCTCGATCCCAGGACCCTGGGATCACGACCTGAGCTGAAGACAGACACTTAATGACTGAGCTACCCAGGCGCCCCTGATTCTGGACATTTTCAAACCAAGTAGGCATGACATCTCATTAGGCGGACACGCTTTCTTGACATCCTGCCCAAATAATTCACAAGGGAGACTTTAAGACTCCGAAGAGACTGAACTTTTAAATATTATTTTTCACTGTTTTAATTATTAAAACTTGACAGTGTGCTATTTCAAACAGTATTTGACTAGATGCCATAAGCTCCGTTTTATGAGATTTATTAATCTTAAGTGAAACAATGTGTTCTTAAATATATAATTTTACTTAAAACCATTAAAAGCCCATTTTAATTTAAGAACTTGTGATCTGAAGCAACGTCACAAAATATATAAAAATTTACTGGAAAAGTCCAATTTTTCAAAAAGTGCTTTGCTATTACAAAGGGAGGGCTTTGCAGCCATGGGTGCTTCTCAAGATGGGAGTTGGTGGGTCCAGAGCAAGGTCCCCTCTTTCAAAGCACCTGCCACCCTCATCTCTCAGGGACCCATGATTCTGAGCAGTGGGTGCCCCACCTCTCACTCAGGTCACCTGGAAAAGGGAAGGGTTTGGAACCATGAGCATGTCTGGGTCACGACAAACTTCCCATTCTCCAAGTTAACAAAAACCAAACTGATTGTTCTTCGTTCCTTGTCCACGATCCCAAGGTGCAAATAACCACCAGAACCAGTTTAAACCCTTCCTCATGGATCAAGGATGGCGTCACACTTTTGAAAGTCAGCCAGGGGGCAGCCGCCCTGCCCCACTGTCCACCCTTCCAAAACTAAAGACCAAACAACCCCCAACTCCTGAGAGCCCCCCAATCCCCGCACCCCACACCCCTCAATGATCTTCTCTGCTCACAGGGACCGTGCTTGGCAAGCAATAAATTCAGATACTGAGAGTGGTGGCCTCTGTCTTCGGTAGCAGGAAGGGATTCAAAATGCAAGGATGCCGTACAGCAAAGACTCACAGCAACGGCAAAAGGAGGTAGCTCACAAACATAGGAAAGTTCAACTTCACCCCCCAGATGAGACATGCAAATGAAGCCGCACCGAAAGTACCGGGGGAAGCCTGAAGAGGAACAGGATCTTTACATGGTCTCAAAATATCTCCCAAGGCCCCTTCTTATCCCCAAGAGAGCTGGTACTTTATACTGGGGGGGGAACGCGGCAGATGCCACCGGAGCCAAAGGATCAAAATCAGAATCACGGGCCTCACGATGTGGTGTCACCTGTGCCACCATCCTGCCTAAAGTACAAGACCCCACCACGAGGGGGCACCGGACAAACTCCAACGGAGGGTCACTCTCCAAACAAACGGCCTGCGCTCGCCCACGTTTTCAACGCCATCAAAGACAAAGGCAGAAGAGCTTTACTGATCGGAAGCCAGTGAGGAGACAGGACAGACAGGCAGGAGCTGGAGTGGAGCTGGACTGGATGGTAAATCGGGGGGAAATGCTATAAAGGACATTACTGGGATGAGACGCCTGGGTGGCTCAGTTGATTGAGCGTCTGCCTTCGGCTCGGGTCATGATCCCAGGGTCCTGGGATCGAGTCCAGCGTCGGGCTCCCTGCTCAGCAGGGAGCCTGCTTCTCCTTCTCCCGCCCCCCCAGTTGTGCTCTGACAAATAAATAAAATCTCAAAAAAAAAAAAAGGACTTTAGTGGGGCAATTTGAATGTGAGCTGTGTTTTATTTAGTTTTTAAAGATTTTATTTATTTATTTGACAGAGAGACAGAGCGAGAGAGGGAACACAAGCAGGGGGAGCTGGAGAGGGAGAAGCAGGCTCCCCGCGGAGCAGGGAGCCCGACGCGGGGCTCGATCCCAGAACCCTGGGATCATGACCCGAGCTGAAGGCAGACACTTAAGACTGAGCCACCCAGGCGCCCTGAATGTGAGCTGTGTTTTAGAGTACAGTGCTGTACCAGCGTCTGATGTCCCAAATCTGGTCACTGCACTGTGATTATGCAGGATGATGTTCTTGTCTAGGGCACGCTGCCCGCCACTAACCCTCAAGTGGTTAAGGGAAACTACTTTATTCCCTTGGAATCAGGAGCAGGAGAGGGAGGGCGGATGGTGAGCAAACGTGGCAAACTTAAGAATTTATGACTTGGGGCAAAGGGTAAGCGGGGTCTCTAGTAGTCGTTCAACCTGTTAGCTCCTCGAAGCTCTCAGGGGACTTTGCACACACTTCACTCACCCTTCCTACGTGTCTTCGGTGAGGGGTGGGGTGGAGGGAGGGTCCCGCTGGCCCCCAGCACCCAGAGCGGAGGCTCCAACTACACGGGCGCACGGGGCAGTCTACACGCGAATCCGCTCAGACCTCACAGACAGTCACTCCTGAGGCCATCTCTTACCTTTCGTCAGCCTCGCACTGAATACACAGCCTTACCCTATGGCGCCAGCAAGGTCTTCCCAGTCTATCTCGTTAGTGTCCTCCACGTTTACCTCATACAATCTACAAGAAAAAATAAACACGAAGTTTTCAAGCACAAATCAGCACAACGGACACCTTCTCAGATTCACCCATGTGAAAAGCTTGGGGGCACCAGAACATTCAGCCCCGTCCCAGTTCCCTCAGGCCCAGCAAAGTTGGCATGCCAGACCAAGGTTAGCCCAAGGTCATTAGCCATGTCACCACGGATTCTGCTGCTCAACATCGACTTTCTGGCCAGAGAGAGAAACAGTTCCAACAGCATCGCCTTCTATTTCTCTACCTTTCGATGAGGTTGATTTTGGCCCGCAGAGCATTAACTCCGCGGTACACATCCCGACCATTCGTCATCCTCTTGGTTAGGATTTCCGTCCTGCGTTCAAAAAAACAAAGAATGTACTTTAAGACTTTCAGGGGTAAAGTCTGCACTGCCATTTCCTGCCCTTTTCTCACCTACATCACACCCCTACTGAGAACTAATTTCTAACTTGTGTGACTCATCACTGCTAACATTTACCACCAGGGAGTATGCCAATTTTTTTTTTTAAGTGGGAAATGATAAATAAAACGACAGAAAGGTGGCACCTGGGTGGCTCAGTCATTAGGCGTCTGCCTTCGGCTCAGGTCATGATCCCAGGGTCCTGGGATCGAGCCCTGCATTGGGCTGCCTGCTCCGCGGGAAGCCTGCTTCTCCCTCTCCCACTCCCCCTGCTTGTGTTCCCTCTTTCACTGTGTCTCTCTATGTCAAATAAATAAACAAAATCTTTAAACAACAAAAAAAAGAAAGTTGATGGTTACTGAAACTGGATGAGGGATACAAGTTCTAAATTTGTGTGTACGATGAAATTTCTGTAGTAGAAGTTATAAAAAGGAGAAGAGAATAAGCCCTTTAACAGGTGTTAAATGAAGCTGTAAACTCTCTTTCTGATTGTTTAGAAAACAGAGGGACATTGCTGTTGGGACACTGAGGGATCAGCTGTTGGAACACGAAGGGAGACTTGGTACAGTCATGACTCCTCTGAGGCCCACAGCTAATGGCTGAAGGGAAGGGTGACTGGAGCTCCTAATGAGAGCAGTGACCCAGCTAAAAATATTTTTTAAGTACTCATCTCAAATAGCAAAGTTTGTCACGATCTGATGGACAGATCGCTAGCTGTTACATTCTGGATAAGGGGGATCCATGATACACAGGTGAGGACGCTGTTTGTACCAGCAGCCAACTGTGTTCGTTCAAAATGCATCCTCTGGGGCGCCTCTGGGGTGCAGTCAGTTAAGCACCCGACTCTTGGTTTCGGCTCAAGTCGTGATCTCAGGGTTGTGAGATCAAGCTCAGGATGGAGTCTGCTTTGGACTCTCTCTCACTCTCCCTCTGACCCCCCACCATGTTCTCTAATAAATCTTTAGGAAAAAAGTAAACTGCATCATCTGTGGTCATTTCAATTTACATGAAAGAAATCTACATTCAGGTTTTCAGTTTCCTGCTTTTCTCTTCAAGTTAAAAAGCAGTCTCTCTTACACGTTATCCGAATTATCCCGATCCTGAAGCACGGCTGCTCTGCAGCATTTCCCTCTTTAAATACTGACCAGTGTTTAACAAACACTCCTTCTTTCAGTGTAAACTGTAGCGGAAGAAAGGGCTCTGGTTCCTCCATGTTATATGCTTCATCCCCCAAAACATTATCTGTTCTGTGGAGTTTATGTCCCTGACTATAGTCTTCTATGAAAATAAACAGATAATTCTACAGCAGAATTGTAAGATAACAATAAATAGTATAATTTAAGAGTCTGCTTTTAATATAAAATATACCTAATCTGGATCTCACTCTTATTTGACACTGACGATGACCACACTCCTTTGCGCATGACGTGTGGATCGTGAGCTGTGGGACCACCGCTCCAAGGGGTCCTGTAGCAGCTGAACACCCCACTCAGAGACCCTCCAGGGCTCGGAAAAGCCACGTCAGGCAAAGAATGCGCAGCAAGATCAGGACTGAAAATGCTTCTGTGTGACTATGTTGTCTCAAGAAGTTCTATGGTGAGGGGCACCTGGGTGGCTCAGTCGTTAAGCGTCTGCCTTCGGCTCAGGTCATGATCCCAGGGTCCTGGGATCGAGCCCCACATCGGGCTCCCTGCTCCGCGGGAAGCCTGCTTCTCCCTCTCCCACTCCCCCTGCTTGTGTTCCCTCTCTCACTGTGTCTCTCTCAGTCAAATAAATAAAATCTTAAAAACAAAAAGAAGTTCTACGAAGAATACAGCTGCCTGGCGTTAGTGAGGACAGAGGAGCCCCCGGACAAGACAGGCTCATGGGAAGGGCAAGCTCCTGCACATCACCGTGCTTGTGATCTCTCTCCCAGAGGGGAGTTTTGTGTTTTTTTATGTTGCAAAGAGAGAACTGTTTTGTTTTACTAAGGCCTTAGCAAGAGACAGAGTAAAGACACCAGAAGTCAATATTCAGTATTAAAAAGGTTCCAGTTCCTTTGGAGGAAACCACACAGGGTTAGTTAGGTGCTAACTTACATCGGATGTTGATACCAAAGTGGTTAGAACAGCTGGCCCGAGGTGATCATTTTTGACACGGAAGGCTTTGTACATGGTACTTACATAGGTCTCCTTCCGTTATAACCCCACTCATCTACCCACTCCAGTGATGTGTATGGTACGGGGAGGGGGGAGGGAAATATCTCGTTGAAATTTATGTAAGAAACCTTAAAACTTACCACTTACTTTTACACTGCATCCAATTTCTGGTTTCTACTTTGGCTTCTACTTCTACCCAAGATATGCCCTTGTAGAGTTTTTCCCTAACAATAGACAGGCAGCCTTCAGGGTTTTCTTGGAGTTTAGAATCCACCTCTTTTAAATCGTGGGGAGACATTTTCTTTAGAATCACTTCTTCGACGGCCTTGATTAGTTTCTGGGTTTCTGTCTTACTCCAAGCACCATGATTTCTTGCTGTAGACACAAAAGGATGATCTTATAGTTGCTAATCTATTTGTTTTCAAGCACAGTATCAAAACCAAAATGACAATGATGGATACATGTCATTACATACTTGTCCAAACCCATAGCACATACACCACCAAAGGTGAGCCCTAATGTGAACTATGGACCCTGGAAGATGATGGACGTGCCAGTGTAGGGTCATGGACTGTAACAAAGGTCCCCACTCTGGGGGGGGGGGGCGGTGCTGACAATGGCAGAGGCTGTATGTCGGGGCAGGGTGCATATGGGAAATCTCTACCTCCCTTTCAATTTTATTGTTGACCTCAAGCCACTCTAAAAAATAGTCTTAAGGGACATCTGGGTGGCTCAGTCAGTTAAGCGTCCAACTCATGATTTTGGCTCAGGTCATGATCTCAGGGTCATGAGATCCAGTCCTGCATTGGGCTCTGCACTGAGTGTGGAGTCTGCTTGAGATTCTCTCTCTCCCTCTCCCTCTGCCCCTCCCCACCCATTTGCCCACGCACTCTCGCTCTCAAAATAAATAAATAAAGCCTTAAAAAAAAAAAAAGAAAAGAAAAACCAGGCACTTTTCAGAAGACAGAGGGCAACATCTTGATTACACAGACATACAACCATCAAACACAGCTACACGCAAATTAAAATGGAACCACTTCTTTTTTTTTTTTTTTAAAGATTTTATTTATTTATTTGACAGAGAGAGACACAGTGAGAGAGGGAACACAAGCAGGGGGAGTGGGAGAGGGAGAAGCAGGCTCCCCGCAGAGCAGGGAGCCCGATGCGGGACTCGATCCCAGGACCCTGGGATCATGACCTGAGCTGAAGGCAGTCGCTTAACCAACTGAGCCACCCAGGTGCCCTGGAACCACTTCTTTTTAAGAACCAATGCCCGGGTGCACGGGTAGCTCAGTTGGTTAAGCGTCTGCTCTTGGATTTGGCTCAGGTCCTGATCTCATGGCTTGTGAGATCAAGCCCTGCATTGGGCTCTATGCTCAGCAGGAGTCTACTTGGATATTCTCTCCCCCTGCCCCACCCCCCTTGTGCTCCCCCATACTCTCTCTCAAATAAATAATCTCAAAAAAAAAAAAGAACCAATGCCTGAGAAGTCCTTCCTTAAAGCAACGTATGTTTTTTTAACTTCAAAAAGAATGTTGTTCTTCTTGTTTCTGACAGTAATGTCTCTTGTGTGAAACTGGGAGGTTCTCAAACACTTAATGGGGACAAAATAACTGAACGACTTCACGTGCATCCGTAACTCTCCCCAGGAACTCCCCGTGTGGCACTGAGCTGCAATGGGAACTCTGGCCTCAATGACAAAGACACCTGAACCACAAGCTGGCCTCTGACGGGGGCATCAAACCATCTGTGGGTCATCCTCCTTGTCTAGATGGTCACAGTCAGACTAAGTAAGAGGCCTCAAACCGGGAGCCTACACATGTCTTTGGTTTGGCCCATAGCATGATTGTGTTACTTTTCCTCAACAATTTAGATGAATATTTAAAAATTGAGAGTTCCAAAGGAAAAAAAACAGTATCTAGATTAACACTCCCCCCTCCCCTGCCAAAAGCAGACTTCTGCTTTACTTCCTGGAAACTGGAAGAACCGGCCACACTGAGTCCCCACATGGCACCAGCGGCTGGACGTGGGGGCACAGAAGGCAGGGCTCCCGGGCACGCCAGGTCCATGGACGCCCGGCCGCTCTGCCCCACGCGCTGCTCTGCCATGTGACCTAGCACAGCATCCCCGTGCTGACAGTGACGTCGCCTGTGAGCTTCTTGAAGCAACTGGGGATTTTATAATGCAAAGAATATACTCAGGAAAATTTTCTTTTTTAGAAAAGAGGAGAAAAAGACACAGGAGGTTTTGGAAAAGTCCCTGCCTAACGGGCCGACTGAACTGCACCCCGGCCCCCTGCAGCCTCTGCTGTGCTCTGGTGGGGGAACCTCCTCCGCCCAGGCTCTGCTCCCCGCCAGCTTCCTAGGGTATATATGGGTCAGGTTGGCGGTGAGAGCTGCGCTGACAGTGAAGGACCTCAGGTGTGGCCGAAATCGGTCTTGTAAATAAAGGCCCCGTGGTTTCACAAACACGCGGGAGGAAATGCAATGAATCAGTACAGAGAATGGCTCAAAACGTGACAGCTCTCTCAGAAGACAGGCTGGCAAAGAGGCCTGCACCGGGGGGTGGGGGGGCTCATTCGTTCACCCGGGGTGGGGGGGGGGGGGGGGGAAGGACCAGAGAACAACACTTACGACTGCTGATCTGGGAGAACTTCAGGGCAACAGAAAGGCTGCTTCGAGCCACCATCTCGCCAATCTTTTTCCAGTCGTTCCCATGCAGGGAATGGTAGATCTTTAACTTTTCCATGTCTCCTTTGCTATACCTGAAAGGGAAAATGTGTTACAATTCCCAATTAAGTACAAGATTAAAAACCCTATCATCATTGCAGTTTGCTGTAGTCCTGGGAAAAGCTGCCAGGGCAGGCTGGTCCCGTCACTTCCTGTCCCGGCATCTCGACTGTGGTCACCCTATAAATCAGTCACTGCAGTCCCAGGCCAGGGGCCTGGCTCAGTTACACAGGGGCTACAGCAAATAACTGGGTCACATTATTCCCATCCAAACCCTAAAGGCTTTGCGCTGCACGCACAAAACACCAACTGCTCCATGTGGCCTACAGTTCAGCCCCACTGGCCTTCTTGTAGGCCTTTTTCCCCTCAGAGCCTCCGTGCTGCAGTGGAAATGGCCTTCCTCCACCCACCTGGATGGCTCCTGCAAACCCTGCAGGTGGCCCTTCGTCAGCGAGAATGTCCCGATACCTGACGGTCCAGTCCCCTGCTGCTCTCCCCCAGAGCAAGCTCTGCCCCTTTCACAGCAACCCCCCACAGAAGGGCAGTTGGACATCGAGGGGTCCCCGTTTACCCGTCTCTGCCTCTAGACCAGCGCCGTCCAACAGAAATGTAATATGAGCCATACACATCATCTAAACCTTGTAGCGATCACGTGAAAATGAATTTTATTTCATTTGAATGAACTTAATAAAATATTTGACTTAACCCACTATATTAAAAACGCAACCATTTCAACATGCAGTCAGGATCTGAAAGTGTTAATGAGGTAATTTACGTTCTTTCCTTCTAACTCCAGCATATGGTGCCTCTCAACTTGGACTAAATGTATTTCAAGTGCTCCCTGGCCCCGTGAGGCTGGTGGCCACCGTGATGGACAGCACGGCTCTGGAGGGGACATCCTACAAGGGCTCAGACCCTGTTGGTTTTTCTACACCATGGTATCCGCAATGCTTGACAGACAACATTCAATAAATACGTGACAAATGACTTGACACAAATGCACAATTATTTAAGGAATGTACGGCGCTTTTTCGTTCCACATAAAAACAAATATTATGCTAAAGAAAAGAACCAAACAACACTAAGTGGATTTGGAGATTAAACACAAGTGTTTAAGTGAAGGGAAAGCAATCCTTAGGGCATTCTAGAATTCCTTAATACAGGGGGCGGGAAATGGTGGTTTATGTTACTACTAACTCAACACAAGAGAAGCTCTAGCAAAATACTACCCATCCCTGATGACAGTGATTCAGAATTACTTCCAACAGTAAGAGCCTAGCACTCTCAGAAGGTCATCTACAAATGCAGAGCATGGTGAGGAGAGACCTGTAATCCTTCACTGCTAAGACTCATGCTTTCTAGCAGTTTCCTTCTCAAGGCAATCAGGGTCTTTCTGAGATTATTTATTTTTAATATTTTATTTGTCAAGAGAGAGAGAATGCATGAGCACAAGCAGGGGAAGTGGCAGGCAGAGGGAGAGGTAGAAGCAGGCTCCCTACTGAGCAAGGAGCCCGATGTGGGGCTCGATCCCGGGACCTCGGGATCCCGGCCTGAGCTGAAGGCAGACGCTTAACTGATTGCGCCACCCAGGCGTCCCTCTTTCTGAGATTTAAAACAACTTAAGGGTACCCCTGAAGCGACAGAAAGGAGGACATCAGAGAGAAAGTGAGTGCATAACAATGACGAAACAGGTGTATTGACCTCTGACGTCCCCCAGAGCCTCAAAATTCTTTGATTTTTGGCTTTCTGTGATTTTTTTCAGTTAAGAATTCCTTAAGTTAGAAAAAATATATTCTAAGGGCAAATGGTTACCACAACACATTGGAATGACAGACTTGGCTTATTCTAAAACTTTCATTCCCACGCTTATGTCACAAGTAGAAAAATGTCACCTCAGCTGCCACCATTCATTTGCCAAAAGCTATCTTTCAAGTCCCACTTAACATGTCATCTTTAGTGCATTTCCTTAAAGCTCTGTCCACAGATGCCCAACCCCGGGGCTTGGGAAAAAGAGGAAGGCAGGTATTAGTTTGTGGGCAACCTTTTCCTCTGCTGAAGGTTTATGTCTCTTGTTCAAAAGTTAAGAAACCAAAGTCAGGGGTGCCTGGGTGGCTCAGTCGTTAAGCGTCTGCCTTCAGCTCAGGTCATGATCCCAGGGTCCTGGGATCGAGCCCTGCGTCGGGCTCCCTGCTCTGCGGGAAGCCTGCTTCTCCCTCTCCCACTCCCCCTGCTTGTGTTCCCTCTCTCGCTGTGTCTCTCTCTGTCAAATAAATAAATAAAATCTTAAAAAAACAACAACAAAAAACCCACCAAGGTCATATCAGTGTTTGCAGGTCAGAGAATACGTATGTGTTGGTTTATAATCATGCAACTAACTGGAAGGCAACTGGCCCTGTCAGATTTACTAAATCTGCCTCCCAGAGTGAGATCGAATAGCTGGTCGGCTGGGCCCTCAGAGGGAGGGGTTGACACCTTCCTGCCTATCCCTCTGGCCTGGAGCTGAGTGCTTACCCACAGCCGACCCCTGATCTATGCCGGTTTTATCTGGAATGTTGGGAACAAAATATAGTTGGGTATTTTGCTTGGGGAAAGAGAGAGAATGACCATCACCACAGGACACTCTGCACTGTCACTAATGACCCGCTCCTATGGGACCTCCTATTAGTGCTTACCCCACCTTCAAATATTCACTGAAAACCCAAAGAATTAGGCTGAGTGCTGAAGGGAACATCGCACTGAAAAGGAATGTTTGAGGGGCGCCCGGTGGCTCAGTCGGTTAAGCGTCTGCCTTCGGCCCAGGTCGTGATCCCCAGGTCCTGGGATCGAGCCCCGTGGCAGGCCCCCTGCTCAGCTGGGAGTCTGCTTCTACCTCCCCTCCCCGCTTGTGCTCTCTCTCGCTATCTGTCTCTCTCTCTCAAATAAATAAAATCTTTTTTTTTCCTAAAGATTTTATTTATTTATCTGAGACAGAGAGAATGAGAGAGACAGAGAACACATGAGAGGGGGGAGGGTCAGAGGGAGAAGCAGGCTCCCCGCCGAGCAGAGCCCGATGCGGGACTCGATCCAGGGACTCCAGGATCATGACCTGAGCAGAAGGCAGTCACTTAACCAACTGAGCCACCCAGGCGCCCTCAAATAAATAAAATCTTAAAAAACAAAACAAAAGGAACGTCTGGGTACACAGGGAGCTCACAAATTAGCAGAGAGCAAAGAAAACTTCATGAGTAACATGAGAGGCATGGCACGCTGAGGGCTAAGGAAAGTATAAAGAAAGGCCAAGGATTTAGAAAGGGGAAGATCACAAACGTTTACTCAAGAGGCAGAAACTGAAATGAGCTTTGAAGACATACCACTGACAACAAATACACAGTCTACTTTTCACACACGAAAAAATCTTCAGTTTTTTACCTCTCATCTGTTGAGGACATTCTAATTTATACTATCAGCAAAAACATTCTGTCTCAAGCTGCTAAGGCTTTTTCTTTTTTTTTTTAATTTTTCATTGTTATGTTAATCACCATGCTAAGACTTTTTCTTACCTGCCTTTATAATTGTTGACATCAAACATCTTCTTTGCTCGATAGTAGACGAGTTTCCAGGGCCGGGCAATGCCCTTTCCTAAAGTCAGAAGAAAGGCAGTCAGAGGGGCCCACAGGGCAGGGCTTGAAATGGAGTCACAGTTGGAAAGGGAACCCAGCATGGCTCCTGTTAACACCACTACCCTAGATCCTGGGTCAGGCTGGGATTTCATACATCCCACACAAAATCACCAGTTTCCTTGGAGAGCTCTAAAATCTACATACTTAGTAAGTCAAGGCTCCAGCTTCTGGTCTACTAAACTCGAGGGAAAAGCCCTTACAAAGCAAAGTAATGCTAACAAAATTTGAATGAAGAGGAAAGCATGCTAAGGTGGGGGACACATGCCAACAGTTCTCCATAAGATTAACAGAAGAGTTTTCTCAATGAGCAAGCTTGGCTTGCTTCCTCACTCAGGATGAAACAGCCCCTCGACAGGGACCCCCCCTAGTCTGTTTCCCCTTGTGTACTCGAGAACACCTAAGAGGGCGCCTGGGTGGCTCAGTTGGTTAAGCGACTGCCTTCGGCTCAGGTCATGATCCTGGAGTCCTGGGATTGAGTCCCGCATCAGGCTCCCTGCTTAGCAGGGAGTCTGCTTCTCCCTCTTACCCTCCCCCCTCTCATGCTCTCTCTCTCTCATTCTCTCTCTCAGATAAGTAAATAAAATCTTAAAAAAAAAAAAAAAAAGAAGTCAGAGAACACCTAAGAAATCATCCTCTTTACATTCACGGATTTTTTTCAGTCTGATCCTGTGTTGCTTCATGACTTTCTCACTTTCCAAGTACAGCTGCAGGAGGAGGGTTCCAGAGACAAAGCACAGATAAGGCTATACTTGGAAAACTTAGAAGACCCTGGTACACGTAAGAATGTGCTTTGGGGCACCTGGGTGGTGCAGTTGGTCAAGCGTCCGACTCTTGATTTCAGCTCAGGTCATGATCTCAGGGTCATGAGATCGAGCCTGGTGTCGGGCTCTGTGCTCAGCACAGTCTGCTTGAGGTTCTCTCTCCCTCTGGCCCTCCCCCTGTGCTCTCTCTAATAAATCAATAAAATCTTAAAAAATATGCTTTGTGCAGCATATGCAAAACAACAACACATAACAAAGAATAAAGAAAGAGAAAGCAAAACGATACCTATTACCAAGTACAAAAGCTAGAAGTTGATCAGGTCACTTTTTATAAAATCTGTAAAAGCACTATACTTGGGAGACACAAACACATTCCAAATCCCCAAAAGTACAGGCCGGCAACAGGAATACTTGTAGCCATGGCAGCGGGTAACATGCACCGCACGCACTGAATGCGCCAGGCGCTGCGCTAAATACTTACCGTGGGTTCTCCCTTTACGGTTGGTAGGCTGTGGATGGTCAAAGAGTAAACAGTTTTAAACTTACCAATGTGCAATCTAAATGCGTATCTTCTTTTTAAGTCGGTGATCACAGATTTCTCCTCTGGGTATCTGTCTGTGTACAGCAGTTTGTCTGCGTTCTCAATTCCTGTCAGGGACAGAAATTCTTGCACATTTTTCTCTAACTGCTTGTTTTCCTTTACAGAAAACTTGCCAAATCTAATAGCGACACCTAGGATTTGGGTGGGGAGAAAAAGTATGTATTGTCAATAAGGAACAAAAGCAAACCTACCATCTGGTCTTCAACAGTTACAAGACAGTGGCTTGCCAGCTTCCCCCTGCTGGGAACAGCCCCAGCGGTGTACTTGTACTTGCTGTTAGCTCCCCTGCTGTGCACGCCCCACCCCCCAACTTCACTTCCCTTAGAATTCAGCTCAAGCCACTCTTCTCCCAAAGTCTTCCCTGGTCATCCCCTTCCAAAGTGACCTTCCCCATTTATCACTCAACTTTTGAAAGTAGTTGTTTTTTATATTAAAAAGGAATATATGTTCATTAAAAATTCAAGCAGTATGGAAATAAACATTTAAAAGAAGCCTCCCCTTTGCTCTCTTCTGCCTCGCTCCCCCCTGCAAGGCAGTGCTGTGAACTGGCAAGAACTCGAACATTCACATATATTTTCTATGCATACGTATGGGGGGTGGGGGAGCAATGGCATCATGCTTTACATTCTAGTCCTCTTTGTAGCTCAAAGCAACCAAGTTTTATTATGTACTGACGATCTTATATACTATGTTTTTCTATTCTTAGACTTAAAGAGTACCTTTTATAAAATACAGTCATAAACATTTCCACAGAAAATACACAAATAGAATGGGACCACTCTATAGATACTGCTCTATTTTGAATTACATTTTTCTTCCTTAATTTGGCTATTTTTTAAAACTAATCTCTTGGGGTGCCTGGGTGGCTCAGTCAGTTAAGCGTCTGCCTTCTGCTCAGGTCATGATCCCAGGGTCCTGGGATCGAGCCCCGCCATCGGGCTCCCTGCTCCGCAGCAAACCTGCTTCTCCCTCTTCCTCTGCCTCTCCCCCTGCTTGTGAACTCTCACTCTTTCTCTGTCAAATAAATGAAATCTTTAAAAAAAAATAAAATAAAACAAAAAATAAAACTAATCTCTTCACCACAATTAACTCCGTAAGGCCCCACATTTTACTTTTCGCAGGGACCAGAGGTACTGGACCTCACACAGCCACTCAGTAAATATTGCTCATTTGTAGCACACAGCCTTAAATGTGTAGTTTACTCTTCAATTCCATAAGCTTTCTGGGAGGTTCTTATAACACAGTGAAATCAAGAAGGAGACCATGTTGGGTCTCCTGTGAAACCACGGCCATTACAACCAGCCTAGCCTCCACTTAATATCTCGGGGAAGGAAGCTACAGCTCATCAAAGTTGACAATACTGGCTGTTTTCATTTTATTTTATTCCTGCATCCTCCCCAAAGGCTCAGCCACTTAGCCTCCTCCTCTCCTTCCAGGCCTCCCCTACCAGAAGCTAGGTGGAGAAGAGCAAAACCAGGGCTCTTCATTTTGCTAATTTTATGGCTCGGACAACAATTCTGGAAGGAGGAGAAGCTGAAGGCACCCAGAGGATGCTTCCTGTGAATCTAGAAATCTGCATTGTTCACAGAAAAAAGGCAGGGGCTCGTTAGGCGGACAGGAAAGTTCGACAAATACTAAAGCGCCACCAGCTCACCCTGTGCTTTAAATTCCTTAAACCGCCCCAAGTCATCCCGGTACATCCGCTTGATTGTGGTGGCAGCCCTTTCCTTGATGTCCGGAATGAACTCCTGGAGCTGCCTCACAGCCGAGTCTAAATCCACATCTGAGTCACCCGAATCTCTGGAGTCTTCCGACGAATATCTTGTTGCAGAATCTTTGGCCAATTCCAAATGTCTTTCCTCTTCATTTGTAGGTTCTAACCTGCAGGAAAAATTGAGTTAACTCACATTAACCTGTCGCTTGCCCTGGTGGCTTTCCAATTCTTTTCTTAAAATGATCCTTCACTTAGACGAGGCCGGTGTTAAAGCTAGGAGGGACGTTGGAGCTGATTCCGTCTGTGATGTGTGGACTGAGGTAATTTGACCAACGTATGCATACACCGCAGAGGCCGCCTACAAGGGACCCGTGTGGCCCAAAGCCCAATTTCCAGCATGTGTTATTTCTTGTGTCACTACTTCTTAAGTTTTCTGGTTTTAGATACTGACTTCCTAACGGGCTAAGCCCTGTTCTGCCCCATGGACCCTCAAGACACTCCCCCCCACCCTTCCAAGGATTTCAGTTTTGTGATAATGGTTACTAATTAATTAAATCAATGTAACAATGACCACATTTTCCCCCCTTTGCTTAGTTTTCTATGCATCTGTCACTAATTCATCCCCAAATGTCTGCCAGATGTCCAAATCCCCTCTTACTGTGGTCAATCATAACAGCTAACCACTCAGGCAGGAAACTTAAAAAAAAAATTATACCCATTAGTTCGAGGAAAGGGTCAGCAGCTTTCAGAGGGCCCACAGCCCAGTACAAGTTCAAAACCACAGCCCTCGACATGCCTGCCTCCTATCAGTATTACCCCTGATGAGAGGAGGTGAGTGGGCCCCTCTTATCGATACCACCTGAAGTGGCATCGTCTCCCACTGAACTTCTTGGTGAAACTATTTTAGGCCAGGACAACCTAACAAATGCAAAAATGTAAAAAAAAAATTGCCATTGAGTAAAAATGGGGAGAAAAATCTGTCCCAAGTCCTAGGAACTGAGATAAAGTGGTTTAAAAAACTGCTCTATTAAAAAAAAAAAAGCTGTGTTTATTATATCAGCAGTTGACTTACACAATAATTATATAAATAATGACGTCTAAATTTCTTCTATTAGGGAGAACCTTAATTCAAGGTTTTTCCTGCTCTGTAAAAATTCTAAGTATTTAGAATTTTTCTTTCTTTCTAAGTATATGCATATAGACGAACAAAGGTAACTTGGGGGGTCTTAAAATGCCCTTTTAAACTTATTCATAGAATTTCAGGGCTGGAATAGTTTTTAGTAAAAATCTGATCTAACTGCCTTACTTTATATATGAAGAAAGGAACCTTCCTGCCAAGTCACTCGGTTACACGTATGCATCGTTCTGTACATTTAACGGTCTGTCTCTCTGATTTCTGCCATTTACTACAGGCATGCTGGATAAAGAGGTCACAGGCAGAATTCACACAGAGGACATACACACCAGAAAACATGCCACTGCCACATTACCTCTGCACCTCTTCCGAAGAGGCCTGGGTTTTCTCCTGGTGTGGCCTGGGTTTCACTCTTTCTTCAATCAGGGCACCATTACCTTCCAGTGAATCAGAGTGTGTATCCTCAAAGCTCCCTGCGGGCACTGAAAAATCACCCCCAGGAGCTACAGGACTTTCAACAGAAGACCTTCGCTTCCTTTTCTTAGACTTTTTCTTTACACGGCCGGCTTCCTTACTGCCTTCTGCAGTCCCAACCTCACCGACCCCCTGCCATCCTTCGGAGTACACGTTCTCTAGACTCTCAGGCCCAGGCAATGCCTCAAGTTCCTGGTCATGTGCAATTTTTCTCTTTTTTTTCTTAGACTTTTTCTTATGGGCCGATACTGGTAGTTGTGTGATTCCACCTCCTGGGTCCACAGAAAGCAGGGTTTCCTCCTTGTGTGGTTCTGGCTTGGGCAGAGCGAGGCTTGCATGCAGGCTTTCCTGCTCAGCATCCCAGGAGGCCACTTTCCTCCGATGTTTTCTACTTTTTGTCCCCCTAACTTTATGATGCAGCTCTTCCGACTCGTTTTTATGTGACTTAGGAACTGAATGCAGTTCGCCTGCTTCAGGCTCTTTTGTTGGCTTCTGTTCCTGGCTCACGTCAACATACACGACATCGACATCCCTCCTAAAATTCTTTGGTGTGTTCTCGATATTTTCTTTATCCACCAAGACATACACCACACCTGTTTCCCCATCCACCCCCGAAGCCCTATGTTTTTTCTTTTTATTCTTTTTGGGTACGGATGTGGCCTTTTTCGTCTCACCACCAATTTCTGATTTTTTCAAAGGGGAAGGAAGAAGATGCTGGCAATCCTTCCTTTTTTTCTTACTCTTGGTTACGTGAGACTGCTCGCTTGCCAGGGGGGAGTCTCTGACACTTTCATGGGGATGCCTCAGATGTCCTTCCTTATACACAGAGTACTTTTTCTTTTTCTTGTCAAAAACTGGAGTGTGAATTTCCAGTCTGCTCGATTCTCCTTCCATTCTATTCCTGTGGGGAAACTTGACAACAATGGTTTATTTTGGCCAAGCACTTTAAACATCACCCTCAGGAAAGAAAAAAAAAAATCACAGAAAAATGAGATTGCATAACAAATGACAAGGCTGGAGTCATGATTACAAATTTAATGTTACTCTAAATGCACAGGAGGCTCACTGTAATTTACTGTCTGGTCACGCTGCCCTTATGATACGGTAAAAAATAGTTAACGGAGAACAGTGCCCAGCACGATCAGGCCCTGTTGCCCTCCAGCCTCGTCTCTTGCCTCTCCCGTCCAACTTTGGGCTCTAGCCACACAACGCCTTTTCTGGGTTCCTCAAACATGCCCAACCCTTTCCTTGGCTCAAGGTCTGATAGCATACGATTTCCTCTTTCTAGAAGGCTCTCTGCTGCCTCCCCCCCTGGAGACCTCCGCCAAAGGCGGCCTCTGCGACGCGAAGGCACCACCACCCACCGCTGGACTCCACGCGCGCAGCAAAAAGCCCCAACAACCGAAAAGCCGAAAAGCGCTTTCAACCTACCGCCCAACGCGCCGCCACCTTTCTTCCAATCCGGAAATGCCGCGGTGGTGGAAGCGGAAGTAGCCGTGCGTCGCTTCCGGCCCCGCCTCGGCGTCCCGCTGCCAAGGCAACACGCCCGCCGCCGCGATTTGACGCAGGCGTAGTAGCCCGTGGGTTTCATTCCGGGGCGGGGGGGGTCCTCCGGGAGTGGGGTGAGGGTGGGGTAGAGCGAGATCCCCAAGCAGGGAGGGCACAGAAGTCCCCGCCTGGCCTCCTGGCTCGCGCGTGCGCTCCACTTAGTCACGTTTTTGCGGAGCTCTGTTCTAGTCCAGGAGCGAGCCAGCCGGAGAGGTCCCGGACGTGAGGAAGACCTAACACACCAACCAAGATCACGTCAGCTTATCCTGCAAGGAAAGGAAAAAAGGAGAACAGTTTGTGTTGAGAGTGAGGGTGGACAGCGAGTGCCACCGCAGACGGAAGGGCAGGCTCTTCGAGGAGTAGCATTTGAGCTGAGTTGTAAACGAAGACGGCGAGCAGAAACCGAGATGGAAGATTGCTCCCGGCTGGAAGCAAGGCCGAGAACGTGCACTTGGTCGCTGGAGGAACTGGAAGCCGGCCAGGGCCGCTGGAGCGGAGTGAATACAGGGGAGGGTGGTCGACGTTGAAGGCAGAGGCGGGCGGAGACTGCTGGGTTAAGCTTACGTGAAGCTGGAAGGAGCCTTGTGTTCCAATCCTCCCGTTGCAACTGTGCCCTGAAGAAACTTGGCTTATGATTTAAAGTAAAGCTCTTAAGTCGAGGCCAGTATATAAACCACTAGACTTTTAGACTCCTTGAATTGTGAACATAACCATGTTGGCAACTAGGTTTTTTTTTTTTTCCCCCACTAAATCCTGTAACAAGCCCATGTGGGTATTGTAGGATTATTTTTATTAGGTGTTATCAGCCGCACCCTCTGGATGAGAAAACTAGGGCTTAATGTAACTTGTACAAGGGGATTTATGTGGCCCAGGCAGGATTCAAACCTGTGCTCTCCCTACTACTCCACTATCCTGCCCCTCCCTGTGATGTAGGAAAGATGTTGGGGTTCTGAGCCCACCCCAAGAAAGAATTCTTGAGATGTCTTTGGTGCAAAAAGAAAAAAAGTGGTTTTATTAAAGCACAGGGACAGGACCTGTAGGCAGAAAGAGCCGCACTGGGGTCATGAGGAGTGGCAGATTATATACTTTCAAGTTGGGAGGGGTTAGGGCTAGCGTAAGTCTCTAGGGAATTTTGGAAGCAAAGTTTCCAGGACCTTGAGGGGGCTAGCTGCTGTTAGGAAAAGGTCATTTATTACTGTCTAATAAAACTTGAGTCATGAGACCCTTCAGATGTATATGGGTGGGTCATATGCTTGGGGGATGACTGCCAACACATATCTTGGGGGTAGAGATAAAGGAAGCTTCCAAAGGAATTTTTTTTTTAAGATTTTATTTATTTATTTGAGAGAGAGAGAATGAGAGACAGCACGAGAGGGAAGAGGGCAGAGGGAGAAGCAGACTCCCTGCTGAGCAGGGAGCCCAATGTGGGACTCGATCCTGAGACTCCAGGATCATGACCTGAGCCGAAGGCAGTCGCTTAACCAACCGAGCCACCCAGGCACCCCCAAAGGAATTTTTATATGTTGAAGTAGACTTACAGGATGCTGGGGATTGGGCTAAGATTGCCCTTTGCCCTTAGCAAGATATTAACATCGAGGCAGCTGAGTTCCTAGAGGAATGTCACTCTGCCTGTTTCAAGGACTTGTCAGTGGGCTGTAGGTAATAAGGAAATTTAATTTTTTTTGCCTTTGTTTCCCACATCACCTACACCTACCACCTGACTTCCTCTGTGTGAGCTGCCAAGCGGTTTTCATTAAAAGTGCACAATCTGTATTTCTGTGAAAGTCTGGGAGTAAAGCAGGCTGGAGAAATCACAAGTACATATCACATCACACACCATCACCACCCAACAGCTGCTCCAGTCTTGGATGAGCAGTTGGAAGTCTGTCTGGTCTGTTCTAGAAATGCAGTACTGGTGTTGTCCACTGTTGGTCTATAAGGCCTTGAAGTGCGAGTTTGCTGTTGGTGCAACTTGCTCTTGGTGAACCCTCTTACCCAGAGCCTTGTGGGTATTTGCACATTGAATGAAGATGATGAGGGGTGAACGAACCCACAAAAGGCTGAACTAGAAGGAACTAGAGATCATCCAGGCCAGTGGTTCCAGAAGTATTGTGCCAATTTCCTGGGAAGCTTTTAAAACATGCAGATTCCCAACTTGGCATACAGACATCAGGCGCTACTATTATGTCATATTGAGATCCATGGACATGATAATGACACTGTAGTAATGCGAGAATGTCCCCGTTCTTGGCAGATAGATACATGCTGAAGAGTTTAGGGTCACATATGATGCTATCAACAGATACTTTCAAGATGATTCTGCAACGTGTGTCTGTGCATGGTGAACCTAGGTGAAATCTATATGGGTTTTCACTGTACTCTGTTTTCAACTATTCTATAGTTTAGAACTTTTTCAAAATTTAAAAAAAGTCCAAAGGGGAGGAAGGAGATTTTTTAAAAATACAGATTCCCAGATTCCATTTCCATATTCTAAGTCAGTGGATCTGTATTTTTCCATTTCCCTCCATTCTGTTGCACAAAGTTGGGTACCACTGATCTCATTCAACTCTAGACTCTCCTCCTCACCCATTTCACAGGAGGAAAAACTGAGGACCCAAAAGAGTGACTGATTCAAGATCACCCAAGTGGACTAGCAGTAACATCAGGCCTGGAATGCAGATCTCTATTTCATCATGAAAATTTTAGCTCTCTAGCCCAGTGTGTGGGGGGGGGGGGCGGGGGGGTGTAGAGGGGAAGAGAATGATAAGGGGCCGTGAGTGGAGTGGGGTGGGTGGAGGGAGGTATCTTTGCCTAGGAAGTCAAGTGTAGATGGCCTTCTAGAGCCCCGTTGCTTTTAACACAACCTAGTGGCGATTCTTGGTTTTTTTCATATCTATTTAAGAGAACTCTAAGCAAGTCCACTTTGGTGGCCACCAAGAGTTTCGAGAAAGAAAACCTGGCCCCTCCGCTCGGGCGCCGTTGGCGTCCCGTCGCCATGGAGACAGACAGTTCCATTCTTCCTCAAGGGGTGGTCTCGATTTTCTGTCCGTTCCTAGCCCGCAGGGCGGTGCCCAGAAGTTGCTCTGAGGAACCAGAGGGGCTTATATAGGGCTTTAGAGCTCCTTACGGGAAGGGGGCTGCGCGAGGTGGGTGCTCCCCGCTCCGGAGGGGGCCGGGCGTCTGGGGCCCACCCCGGGGCCCCGGGTGGTGCGTCCCGGGACTGGTGGAGGGGCCCCCTCCGAGCTCCGCGCCCCGCTCCGCCGCAGGGGAGCGCGCCCCAGCCAGCCAGCCCGCGGACCTCCGGCCCGCAGCCTCAGGATGCCAGAGACCCAGAGCTCCCGCCGGGACCCCCGGCGCCGGAAGAAGCAGCAGCCGGTGTGCCGCACGGTCAGCCAGATCTGCCCGCCCCCGCGGCGGCCCCTGACCGTGGCCGACATCCGACCCGGCATGGAGAACGAGAGGCTGGGAGTCGTGCGGGATTCCATGTTGCAGAATCCGCTCATCGTCAAGGTGAGCCGCCCCCACGCCCGCCCCCCCCTCGGCGCTCGCCCCCTCGCTGGGCACCCGCGCTGCCGGGGCTTCCACCGCCAAGCCGCGGCCCACGGGACCCAGCGGACCGAGCGCAGTGTTGGCAGCTCCCGCTCTGGTCCAGACCGACCTGGACCCCGGTGCGGTCTCCCGGGCAGGTCGCGTCGCCTCTCTGCGCCTCAGTTTCCCAATCCTCGAAGTGGGATGATAACGGCGCTCACTGGAGGGAGTGACGGGGAAGGTTGACTAGGGGCCCTGGCACAGCGGCTGACGCGCGGTGAGCCCGCCCGCAGGGTTGGCTGCTGCTGTTCACCGGGAGCCCGCCGGCGACCCGCAGGTGGCCGACAGGGAACACGCCCCCACCCTCTGTCCTTACTCGCCAGCCGCCGCCCTCCCGGGGTGCCGGCTGGCTGCCCCCTTCCCCCTGCACGCCGCGACGCAGCCAGGGTTCCGCCCTCTCCTGGAAGCGCCCCTCCACGAGGTAATTTCCATCCAATCATACTCTTACCCAGAATTACAGCCCGAAGAGAAAAAAAGGGCGCGCAACTCTCTGCCCTGGGGGGCTCGCAGGCACGAAGGGGGGAGGGAGCTGCGGTTTCTTACCTAGGTCGCCTTCCCATTTATTGCACACTCCCTCCCCTCGGAGGTTTCGGGACTGGTGATCACCCAGCGCCGGCGGGGCATCGCCACTCCTTCCCGGGGCCCCAGAGGAGTCGAGTTGAGGTTTGGCTCTCGGGGAGCTGGTCAGGGAGCAAGTTTGTCCTGTGCCACGGGGGGCAGTGCGCTTTCAACAGTGCTCGCCGTGCCCGGTGCCAGGAGTGCAAGGCGCAGCCGGTCACCAGGGATTCGGTAAAAATGCATCTGAACGCCAGGAGCTCATCAAAGCCCAGAGGTTTTTGTTGTTGTTTTGTGCGGGCTTTTTGGTCTGTTTGTTTTTGTTTTTGTTTGGTTCAGGGAACCGGGGCTTTCTTTTTTTTTTTTTTTTTTAAGATTTTATTTATTTATTTGAGAGAGAGAATGAGATAGAGAGAGCATGAGAGGGGGGAGGGTCAGAGGGAGAAGCAGACTCCCCGCCGAGCAGGGAGCCCGATGTGGGACTCGATCCCAGGACTCCAGGATCATGACCTGAGCTGAAGGCAGTCGCTTAACCGACTGAGCCACCCAGGCGCCCGAACCTGGGCTTTCTTAACATCATGCTAGAATTAGCTGAGTTCACGATTCCTATGAAAACACGCACTCTATCCTGTTGCCTTCCCCCAACTTTGTTCCTGGCCCTGGCTTATCACACCAGCACTCTTCCGTTTAATGTGCTCCTTTTCTTAGCAACCCCCCTCCCCCCACCAAGTGGA